TCTGGAATAGCTGCCTGACCGGCTCCGAGATGACGCCCCAGCAGGCCTGGAGGAGGCGCGTGGTGATCCCGTCCACACCAGGGGTCGTTGTCTTTGTTAAGGTGGCCGTCTTCACTTCTTCTCCGCTAACATTGTCCTGCCAAGTAATCGCTCGCCTTGGGACGACGGGTACGTCAAACGGATTACCCGGTGCGTCATCTTCCGCACTAAACCTGTCGAGAAGGGCTTCCCGAAGCGCTTGGGCCTTTTCGTCAGTATCCTCGATCGTCTGGTTGTCCACAACCAATGGGGGTGCTCTGGTCAGTGGGCTCGCCTTCCGCCAACCCATGATCTGGTACAGGTCCCGGTCTGAAGCGACTCCATCGATCTTTCCGGCCCAGTATGCTCGCTTAGCCTTCCTCACCGTGCTCAGGAACGCCTTTCGTTTCTCCATTAGATAAAGGTGCGCATCTTGCTCCGTCTCCCAGGCTTGTTGGTTGCGGGCAGCACGGTATGCTCTGTGGGCCTCTGCGCATTCCTCCGTCCACCAAGCCGCGCCTTTACCATGTTTTCCTCTCTTCTTGCCGACCGCCTCAATGGCTCGGGAGAAGAGCTCGACGATGTGACTTGCCTGCCCGTCCAGGTCTTCCGGAGTAGGTTGATCCCCCAGATTGGGCATCGCAGCTAGCCCCCCTTCGATCAGGTCTCTCAGCCGAGGCAGCGCCGAGTCGGGCACTGACAGTGGCCGTGGCTGCGGGTGGCCCTCTCCCTGTGACACTGGGCGTTTGAATAGTGGTATGACGGCCACGATGGCCTCGTGGTCAGCTCCCGGGTGTAGCTGTGGGCTGACCTGCGCGTGCGCAAAAGGGATATTAGAGAAAGCCAGGTCCAGGACATGTCCGCAATCCTGGGTTGCCACCCCAACTTCGCTGATAAGAGAGAGATTGTGGCCGTCTGCCCAGCCTGCAATGTCATCTCCCCGGTTCCCGTTCCTCGTCCCGGGCTCCCAAGAGTAGTGATGCGCGTTGAAGTCACCCGCGATCAAAGCTCGCTCCGGGGGTTTGAGTTCTAGCAGTATCCCTGTTGTGCGGCTGTGGGGGTCGCGGGGTTGTCTGTACACGTTGACGATAGTCGTCGTTTTGTCGACCACCAGCCACAGTACGTCTCTCGTGTGGACAGGCCTCTGCTGCTCCACCGTCATCCCTATCCCTTTGCGTGTGTAGGTCAATACTCTTGGTCTGGTTCCTTCGCTGTCCCAGAAGTCGACCGGGACGAAAGAGTCGAAACCCGGGTGCGTGTTCAGTTGCACGTTTCCGTCCTTCCAGCCCGTCCAGGGTTCCTGGACGAGGACCACATCTATCTGAGCCTCCCAGCAGAGCTGCAGGAAAGCCGTGTGCGCCGGGGAGATCTTTCCGACGTTGCCCTGCGCAACGCGTAGCATCCGTGGGGTCGCCGCTCTCGGCTTACGTCTCCGAGTCGAGTTCGAGGTGGGTGTAGGCATTCGCGACGTTGTAGTTTGGCTTCTGTGCTGCCCGTTGGCTCCTGCTTGGCATGGGTAGCACGGGACGGTCGATGGAGGTGTTGTCGGGGGAGTCTTCGCCTTCGCCTTCGTCCGCCTCGTCTTCATCCATGCTGCTGCTGTCAGTGCTTCCGTCACCGAGGCAAACGATCGAGCTTGCGGAGGGCGTTCTCGTGCGCGCGCGCTTGGCGCCGGGTTGCTGGTTCTGGCTGGTGGAGGTAGGGACGCCTGCCGCCTCCTGGCTACTGTCGGATCGAGTAGCCTTGTACAGAGTGTCCGATGCTTTCTGGCCGGCCTTCCGGATCCGAGCCCGCTCCTTTCGACCGGGAAGGGAGACGACGCCGTTTACGACCGAGGGCCTCGCTGGGCAGTCTGTGTGGCCGGCTTGGAAGGGGCCGCAGCAGTTGGGACACTGGGGCCTGGCCATGCAAGGTCCCGTTTCGTGTGAGTCGGAAGGTCTTCCGCAGTTGCTGCAAGTCGGTCGTCGTCCGCAGAACCGGTTGGCGTGGTAGCCCTGGCAGCCGGGGTCATGTCGGATGAGCGTCCTTCGTTTTTTGATGGGCAGAGATCTGCCGCTTTGGTTGAAGAGCCTGAAGGGCGTGACCTCTGATGTGAATGATATGAGCCAAGATATTTCGTTCGTGACTGGGTTGGGCCCAAGGCGGGACGGTCGAGCAAGGACAGGCTTCTGTCCTGTCTGTGCGAAGACCTCATCTTCAACGAGTGTGGCTGGGTCCAGGACGTCCCCGCCAATGCTGTGTAGTTTTGTTGGGCATCGCGGCACAACGTATGTGTGCCACTTGATAGGCGTCTCGACTTGGTGGGCGCCGAGGCATTCCGCCAGCTTTGCCTTACTTGTAAGTAGTCTTTCCTGTATTTGCTTGTTTCGCGGCTTCAGAGAGTAACCTGTGCTGATATGGTAGACGTGGGGAAGGTCCGCTAGCCCCAGGCCAACGGCCTTACAGACGATCTGTCGTACGGCGAACGGTGCGATCTTCCGAGCGGCCGCTAAGCTTTCTTCCGGGACGCGGGCAAAGATGCGGAGGTCCTCCTTCGGCTGCGCCTGCGGCTGATCCTCGGCGGGGAGTGTGGCCTTCGGGCGGGCAGAGCTCTGGCAGCTCTGGCCGCTCCGGGTCGCCGCAGTGGTGTTGCCCGCCATCGGTGCGACGACAGCCGCCCAACTCCGGGCCGCTATTGGGCTTGTCTCGTGATTGATCAGTCTCTTGAGGGTTTGAATGACATAGGCAGTGGCTTCTTTCGCGATCTGCTTTCTAGAACCGTCAAAGCTGGCGACAACGCTGTCGACGGACCGTGCAATGGTCAGAAAGACGTCTTTCCGTGCCTCGTACTGTCTAGCTTCTTCTGCAAGGGCTGTCAAGACGGACCCTGTGGCAGATCCGCTCGGAGCAGATGCGGTAGAGGCTGCGGGCCCCTCGGCCGAGGTAGGGGCGTCGGTGGTGGCATCAAGCTGGCTTCCCGTTAGGCTGGGCCGGGTCGGCTGTGCCTCGGCGTCGCGGCGTCGCTTAGCTCTTGAGGTGGGGTTCGGCTCCGGAGGTGTCCCGGAGCCTGGTTCGGGGTCGGCTTGGTCGGCCGACATCAGTCCGGTGCCCGACGGCGGCTGTGAGGCCATCGCGGATGCGGGCTCCGGCAAGGGGAGGTGAAGAGTTTTCGGCTGTTAGTAATTTGGTGGTAGGCTCACTCATTCACTAACAGCAGATGCCAAGAAAAATTAGGCGAGAGGGAAGTTGTACTTCTAAGAGTGGTGAGTTGGACTTTTATGACCTGAGAACGAGATTGGTGTGTTGTGGGTTTTTCTTGCGACACCTCGCTCCGAGATTTCGTTGAAGCGCGAGAGTACTTAAAGGCTTCGAAAAGTCAAGTTTTCTCTCAGCTGGCTTCCTTTGAACAATGGCTAGGTAGTCGGTTTACCAGTGTTGTGTGGACCTTTCCCCTCTATCAACATTAAAGTTACGACCTATCTCTGCACGCCATTGATGAGTGTTGGATGAAGATGGAGGTGGATTTGAAATGTTAAGTAGGTGACAAAATCACTTGCCACTCTACCGGTATCCTCCCTAGCTCTTTTTCTATTATTTCTATTCCTATTATCCCTATTATCATTCGTCTTTTGAAGAGTATTCTCTAATGAATATACAAGAAATGATGAAAGTAGTATTAGAAATAATAAAAGGTAAAAAAAGAATAAGAATATTAGGTATAATAAGCAGGTAGGTAGGCGTTCTGATCTTCTTGACTAGCATCCTACTTTGTCACCTCCCTGAGTGTCGACCGATAACACCATAGGCGAGAGGGCAGGACGAATCTTCCGATAGGTCGTAGAGAGCACAGCTGCTTATATATCTGGGGAGCTTGCATGCTCATTGTTAAGTAACAATTGCAGCACAGTCAATGTTTGGTGTCAATTTTGCGAAGCTTGCTTCCCTGCTTGGCTCTATCTAGGGTATGACCAAAGGACTACCAACATGTATTGAGCCGCGATAGCATCAGGACAGGGAGCAAGTCTTCCGATGGCCCAGCCACCCAGAAGGCGAAATGACCACGCGCTGAGGATGGCCCATCACCTCTGCCGAGTGGCACGCGAAGCTTACATGTAGTTTGACGTGTCTCCCATGGTGCGCATGCCAGACAAGCATCATTTAGCCATTCGCTGATCGGGCGAAGGAAAGGGACCGGTATTAGACTGCCCCACATTAACCGCCCGAAAGCTTAGCAGAGGCGATGCAAGGAAGATCTTCCCGTAACTAGGGGGTGATGTCATATTCGTCGTCAATTTAGGCGGTGCGCCTCCCTGCTTGTGGTAAAGAAAGACACAAAAGATCCTACCCAAAAAGATCCTATTGATCGTAGGCTGACATTGGTCAATCTGAGAATGCGTGAGAGCGAACTGCCCTATGAGATGGGGTAGACTTGGCAGCTATCTGCGGCGCAGTCCGCGCAGCCCACGCAGCGATGTCAGGGCACGCCGCAGTTCTGCAGCTCATGCCTTCAGCGGCTTCGTTAAAGCAGTGATAACCAGGATCCCACGCTTATTTTATGGAGTGTAATATGCCAATATCTATAGAGCGAAAATTGCTATACAATCCGATCCCAATCTTGAGGCTATCGTAGTCAAAATCCAACCACGATCACAGCGTCAGACGTCTTGATCAATACCTCTACGTTGAACCTCGAACCCGTTACCTCACAATGTTCAAAAATTCCGAGATCCTAAGGGCCAGAGAGCAACAAGAAGAAGATAGAAAAAGGTTGAAAGAGGAAGTTGACCTTCGCGGCAAGCAGGGACAGGACACAACCAAGGGCGAACAAGTGTGGTATTCTCGCCGCGTCGACGACGGGTGTCTTTTACATTGGGCCATCATCACGCATGGCCAGAAACACGAGCTTCGCCTACCGAATGGCAGTGTCCCGAAGCCGAGGGACAAGGTGCCAGAGAGCGAAAAGACCAGTTCGTTCGAGCCTGCTCGGGTATATGAAGCGAGGGTGGTTGCATCGTCTTTGAAGGAAGAGATGAATAAGCTCAGGGCACTCAAGCTTTCGACACCGGCCAAGGGCTACCACACCCGCGACTACACCGTTTGTCAGATCGGCTGGACAACGTTGACAAAAGACGAAGTCAATACCGAATGGGCTGCGGCGCGCTCATCCATCGCAGCTGAGGATCTCGGATACGACGACTGCCGGGAGCTGCTCAAGAAATTCGGCGGCATCATCAAGAAACCTGAGGGATGCGCGCTAGACTACGACTGGTTCACGGAAAGTCTCGAGACGCCAACTCATAAACTCACCGAAATCACACCGGACAAGGCCGTCAAGGGGTTCCAAAACTCGATGCAGAACGGGCTGTGGGGTGTCGCTGCCTCGGGAGTGGGTGCCGGAATAGTGTACGGCGCTTACGAGGCTGGGAAACAGATGGATCCCTTGAGGAGCGGCGCCAATGCGGGCGGCAGTCTGGGTCCAGATTGTTGTTGCGCTGGTTGCTATTGCTGTACTGGTATGGCGGGTGATGGATCTTGTTGGGAGTTTTGCACGCATGCACCGTGTATGGCCTTGAGCGGTGGCTGCACCTGTTGATAGTCGGGTTCGTTTCCAAGATGGATGTTGTTCGATCGAGGTCGCTTTATGCATAGAGTACATAGCAAACGTAGAGTTCCTTCTAGCGGTTCTGAATTCTATACTACCTACAGTACCTAGTACCTTACTCCAAGTCTCCTGATACCGAGTGTTGTCAAAATCCCCAATGAATTGTCAGGATGAATGAAATTTTGAGCATGTAGGTTCAACAGGGGGTGTCGACGGTCGTCAAAGCGTGAGATTGTGTTGTTTGACATTACAAGTCTATGTGATAATGATGTTGTTCATTAAAGTGCTAAGTAGATTGGCGATCTCTGATGCTGGGGGCTCTTACTCTCGCCAACTGTCACAATGGATACCTAGAAGGGAATCTTGAAACCCGAGTGACGCAGGTTTTGGAAAACACCAGTAGGATCGTACTTGGTAGAAGCGGCCCTCAGCCTCTCAATGGAAGCCTCACCGTACGACGAGATGACATCTTGTACCTTGTGAGCATAGTTGAGGAAGATCCAACCCCAGTTCAAGTCCAGAGACGCGGCATAGGCCTCAACGTCCTCTGTATAAGCCTGGATGTACGGGAAGGAAATGGTTTCGTTCTCAGCTCCGTTGACGGCAAAGGTAATGAGGAACATGATGCCGTTGCCTCGGGTGATGTAGTGGTCCAGTCCCATGCTGTTGCCACCCATGGCGATGCCCTTGTCGACGATGGACTTGGTGATGGGCTGGAACATGCAGAGAGTGTTGAAGCCCGAGTCAGCACCGACAGCCTTCTCGAGATCCGCGTTGAGGGTGTAGAACTTCTCGACGGCGTAGTTCATGATCCGAGCATCGTTGTCGAATGCGAGCGTGAACCAGGCGTTGCGGAAGCCTGCAGGCTGACCAGAACCCAATTCGTTTGCGACGATAGAGATCAAGTCGACCTTGGTAGTGTCCTGGGTAATGTTGCCGGCGGCATAGTAGGCGTCAAAGGCAGGAGGCGCAACCTCGGCCAAGGTGTTCTCGATAGCGGCGTTGAGGATCATACCGCCGAGCTGGGGGAGGTACGCCCAGTAGACGATGGAGGAGCTGTTCTCATCCTTGTGAACGTTCTCCGTGAAGTCAACGAGGGCGTCGATGACTTTGGGTCCGGACTCCAGGTCGTAGATGAGGTTGCCTCCCCAGACCACAGGTTTTGTTGGGTCGGGGAAGTCAATGGCGTACATGTCGAAGCGGGTGACAAGGCCGAGGTTGGCGCCGGTCCCCTTGAGACCTTGCCACAGATCCGGGTTGGAAGTGGCATTGGCATTGACGATGGATCCATCAGCAAGGACCACCTCAAAGTTGGCAACTTGGTCACAGGCAAAACCGTGAGACGCCGAGTGGAAGGAGTTGCCGCCGCCAAGGATGAAGCCTCCAGTTCCGACGGTACCAGCACGACCACCCGTAACAACGACACCATAAGGGGCAAGAGTGTCGTAGACAGTCTGCCAGTGACCGCCGGGTCCGATGGAGGCGATCTTTGTGTCAGGGTTGTAGGTGGTGCTGTTGAAGAAGCCAAAGTCAATGGTCACACCGTCGTTGACACTGTTGGATCCAGCAAAGGAGCCGTGGCCACCGCCGCGAACGCCGAATGTGCAGTTAGATGCAGCGAGGGTGGTGATGATGGTCGAGACATCCTTGGCTGTTGAGGGTTGTGCGACACACCAAGGGTCCAGGGCAGCGGTGATGGACCAGTACGAGTCCATACGTTCCACGTACTCAGTGGAGTTGGGGAAGTAGATCTTGCCAGCGAGTCCTGGGGCCCTGTTCAATTTCATGCACTGGTCAAAGTCAGTAACATATTTCGGTTGTTTGCGAGGGAGGTGTGTCTGTAGCTAGGGGAACTCACGCATGCTGTCGACTGTGAGTAGCAAGTCGCAGCCGACGCGACTTCGAACAAAGCTGCTGCAGTGCACATCGCCATGATAGTAGACTTCATCATGGAGGCTGAACCGGATCGAAGATTGCCAAGGTCGGTTGATAGGACGGACGGGGAGAGTCTGGTGGCAAGACCGAGCACCAAAGCCAAGGAGTAACTTGTGTGAAAAAGACCGACGGGAGTGGGTTGCACTGACAGATGTGAACACGGAGGCAGACTTTCTACGATGAGCCGTCAGCTTGCCCTTATACTTACCCTGTCCAGAAGCAACTTCGGAGCTGCAAACCAGCATGGTGGATCGCTAGAGGTCCGACATGGAATATTGATCCTTGAAAGGGCCTGTACGAACGTAGGACTGAGATGAAGGTGGGATATTGCTGCCGTGATGCAGTAGTGTAGGATAGGATGCCCCCCTTAATGGCTGGCACCGTCCAGTTGTCATCGATTTGATGTTTGTCGGTCCAGTCTTACCTTCGGGCAAGGGTGGGTAGTATCCATTGCATGTGGCTAAGTTTACTGAAATCCTTGCGTTGGAGACTTGGCAAACATGCTTCTTTCCCCTGTCTGGCTGCACAGAATATCGTTGGTGCGATTTCAACCCCTGTTGCTCTTTTGCCTCTTTTTCATGCCATATCTTTCCACAACGTTGCTCGATGTTGTTGGAAGTAACCGAATACCATCCCAGTCACCGAGGCCCCGTCGTCCCCACCAGGATCCTGGGCCTTGCCGTCGGGGAAGAAATTGACTTGCTACCGGGCACTGGGGCTCGATCCCGCGCCCTCCGCGTAAGCCCATTCTTCTGGAAACCCTGATAACTTACAGGCATCGCGCCGACGACAACGGCCAGCCAACATCGCCTCGGCCATGGCCAGATGAAAACGCTTACTGACCCACGCTTCGACGGACTGAGCCGATCTCGGGGGTCAGGCCGCATCGAACGATTTAACCCCCGCCGTCATCCGGGGTAGCACATCGACGGCACGGATACGGGTGCTATCAGATACAATGCCACAATGCAAGGTACTAAAGGCATGCCAGGATCAAGTATGATCGATGTTCTCCATTTGGAAGGCTGAAGCTATCTCGTTCTCCGGAGTTTCCAGCAGCTTACCTATATCACTTCTACCAGCGAACCCACAAAACAGGCATCGATTGAACTTGATTTTGCCACAACTTCCTCTTACATCACGGCACGGGAAGCGGTTGGACCGGAGATCAAGTCCCGACAAGTGACAAGTGAGAGAAAATTCTGCAACTGACTCCCAGAACTTTTTAAATTGACTTGCAGCCTTTGGGAGCCAAGAACTGCAGGCAGGAGGCGCATATATGCGAATGCGTTTGAGCCTCGAGATAGGTAATCGAACGACCTGGCCGTCGGATCCGTCATGCGGTCGCTAAAGTTCCTCGTGCATTTCGCCAAAAGAGAGGATGGAGGATTTGTCTCGACTTCACAAGACCCTAGTTCCAACACAAGTAATCCCTGTGACCGAGCTTGTTGAGCGACAGTCAAAAGTGGAAACGTCAACAATTACGTGCTGTTCTTCGGGCCAGAATGCCGAATGAAGTGATATCGCGCAGAATTATCTTGGCCGACCACTAGTCAAGGGTATTGCGGCGTTGGTTCGAAGAGAAATCTGTGACTGCAGGACAGTGGAATAGGAACAGGGCCTTTTGCATCAGGAAGCACCAGGGGCGAAGATGTGGATTCCCTTCTTCCACCCTTCCAAGCTCACAGGCTTAACATGAACGTGTACATGCTTGCGAATCACACTCTAGATGCGATGTGCAAAGAGTGCCAGTGTTAAGGAGTCGAGAATGATACATGTTAAATTAATACTTCCACGGTTGCCCTCGTATCGTTTGATACATAACGACCATGGCGTCCGATAATACTTTTCATCCGAAGGATGTAATCTCCTTTAAGCCACCGGTCGCCCCCCAGACTTTACTGTGTTCCTGCGATTTGATCAACTTTCTTGAGTGACCCATTTTACCGCAAACTTCAGCACGAAATCAGCGAGTTTGGCCATTCGACTCGTAGTATTCAAGCCATGCCAGTGGTGAACGGCGTTGTCACTGTTCTTTCGCCTCCTGAAGGCTATGTGGTCAACTTCGACAACCCACAGCGGCAGGCTGTACCCGAAGCGTATTATGTAGCGGGATTTGGTACCCTCTTGAGTCTTTTGCTCATGGCGCAAAGACTCTATACGAAAGCCTTCTTGATCGGTCGGTTGCAGTGGGACGATGGTAAGAATACCCAACAAACAGCACTACGAGATTCCTTTCCTACACTATCCTGCATCATCGCTTTTTGCCTTTCCTCGTATCTTCAGCAGCGGCTTGGCAAGCTGTGTGGACTAACATTCGGTCTTGGCAGTCTTTCTTCTTCTGGCTTGGGTAAGTTCCAGTATCTCGGACACCGGGTTGCGACTTGCAGCCATATGCAGCCTCAAGCCCACCCACACAACGTCGACAAGCTTGATCAACTTGTGGGGATCAGTCTCGCTGACTGTATCTTAGTTCACATCCATCGCTACCATTGGGTTATGTGTTCGTGAGTGAATACGCCAAGCTGAGATGGTCGGCTAGGTTGTTGCTGACAAGCCCTCGGTAGATATGTTTGCATATGGGTCCGGAGGTGTCCACGGATGGGAGATCTCTGTCGAAAAGTACAACATATATATGATGGTAAGTGGAACAGAATCCTACCGTCTATTCATTCCGTTCTTGAAGGCCAGGATGCTATTTTGCGAGCTCAGTGTACTAACGTAATCGTCAACGCAGGATGTTTTCCTCGCCGCCGCCATCTATACCCTCTGTGGAAGTTTCGCCAAAGTCTCCCTCTTGATATTCTACTTTCGACTATCCCCTCAGAGATGGTTCAAACGAGCTGTGTGGATATCTCTTGCGATTATTGCCGGCTACAGCATTGGTATTTTCTTTGCTCTGGTATTCGCCTGTGATCCAATCGCAATGAGCTGGGACGTTACCGTCACAGAAGGCACTTGTATCAACCGACCATCACTATACATTGCGACCGCTGCGGCAAACATCATCTCAGACTTGATACTTTTCGCGCTTCCGATACCTATCGTTGTGAAGCTACAAATTCCGCGCAGGCAGAAAGTCGGACTGTTCTTCATTTTCGCCGTCGGGTCGCTGTAAGTTGGCATGGCCACTATCCTTGACGATGATGGTGCGCGTAAGAAGATCCTAGCGAAGCTTACACGGCGTATAGTACAGTTGTCACGTCGATCGTCCGTGTTTCTCTTCTTCCAGCTATGCTTACGAGTATGGACCAAAGCTGGGTAATCTCATGGGCCAGTTTATGGATGTGAGTGAAGCCCGGACTCCTTTGATTCTACCCTCGATGTCCGTAGCTGTATTTTCTGACAAATCGATCTTTCAGTATCGTTGAAGCGAATCTAGTCGTAATTTGCGCCTCTCTGCCGACCTTACGCAAGTTCTTCCGACACGTCGCACCCAAGATCATCGGCGAAAGCACATATGGCAAGGGAACCAAGACTGTCGGTGGTACTGGGAGTAAGCCCATGTCACGAATGACTATCGGTGGTACAAATGGAACGCGGAATAGGGCCGAGTATTCGCAATTCGATCGCGACAACAATGGCGAGGCGTTTGTGATGGCCAGCATGGGGTCCAATGAGCCAGTGACTATCGCGACTGGCCATAGCGAGGGTGACCCGGCAGAGGATGATTCATCAGAGAAAGCCATTATACGAGGAAACAATATTGTCCAAACGAAGACAATCACGGTGGAGTATAGCACTAAACAATGAGACTTCGGATCAAACGAAACGCAATATAGATGATTGGCTATCAGTGTGCAAGTACGCCTGATGTTAGCCACTTATCAAGGTACATTGATTGAATGAGAAAATTACCGAAGGCGTTATGGTGTAGTTATGTGAAGAAGTAACGCCATTTCTTAGACTTCAAGCCATCTTCACCTATGTCAGATTGAAATCCTCGGGAGCTTTGACGCAACCAGCCAACCTCAACTGCGGGAACAGAAAAGCGATCGACATTGAAGGCCCCCTTGCACATCCTGGTTCTCATTATAAAGGCCAATGCGAAGGAAAGCCTTTGTGGCATCGTAGAGCGGATAGCCACCCGACGGATCGTGCCGAAGACGCAATACCAAGGAGTTCCGCTGTGGGAATTACAGCATATACAGGGGACCAGGCCTATGAGCCCACCGCGAGAACCAACGGCTGATTGCCAGGTTATCCATATTAGCCAAGACAAAAAGATGGACAGTTGAGATCCAAACTTATCCTATTTGTCATTGATTTGTCTATAGATATATTTTCCGCTCCTGCATTTTAAAGCCCGCGTTTTAATTAGTTCTCTGCAGACCCTACGCTTGCTACTCGGCCGTCTTGCAAGGTGACAATCTTGTCGATGCCGCGGAGGGCCTGAGGACGGTGAACCACAGATATGATAGTATGATTAACGAACTCGCTCTCGATGATCTTAGTCATCATTTCTTCGGTTTCTTGGTCGACGGCACTGGTAGCTTCATCAAGAACCAGAACCTTGCTAGAGTTCTTCCTGACTATAGCGCGAGCTAGACACAACAACTGCTTTTGGCCCTTGGACAGTGGTAGGTTGGAGACATCCGTTTTGAGACCACCACTCAAGGAGATGGCTGACCATAGTGAGACCTTGGTCAGGGCGTCTATAAGGTCATCGTCCGACGGCACCTCATCTGCGCTCGAGTCGTCGCTGAAGGGGAAGAGATTCGTGCGCAGGCTTCCGGGAAAGAGAAGCGGTTCCTGCGGGATGGCAATAAGCGATCGACGAAGCACGTCGTTGGGAACGTTGCCAATGTCAAAACCATCGATCAGGATCTTGCCGGCATCGAGACCAAGAAGCTTGAAGATCGCAAGTGTGAGAGTCGATTTGCCACTACCTGTGCGCCCACAGATGGCAACCTTCTCTCCTGGCTGGATAGAAAGCGAGACTCCCTTTAGAACTGGTCTCGTTTCCGCGGAGTAAGATACTGTCACATTCTGTATCTCGACCTGACCTTGGGAAGGCCATTGGCGTGGGATATTGTCCGGCCCTTCAGCAATAGGCGTCGGTTCGATCGGTGTTCGAGATACGAAGGTTCGCAAACGAGAGATTGCTCCTAAAGATGTTTCAAGCTCCGTCCAAGAGGTAATGAGAGTTGCCAGAGATTGATTGAAGTTAAGCACATTGTAGAGCGCAATGGCAATGGCTCCAGTACTAGTTGCGTCCGGTATCATCATGGCCATCGAGACCAGCAATACTGCAATAGCACCGACAAGAATGTCGAGAACTAGAGTGAGCCAGCGCTGGATGCAAAACATCAGGTAGTACGGCCGTTGGGACTCATCCAAGAGTTCAAGTGAAGTTTCTCGGAAGGCAGTTTGCCAACCGAAGGCGCGGATGGTCGACAAGCCATCGATGGTCTCAATCAACTTGGTCAGAAGAGGAGCCTGCGCCTGAAGATCGAGGAACCGCATCTGGCGAGAAGTTCTCAGGTAGAAAGCTTGTAGGCAGTAGAGGGCGAGCAAAGCGAACGGGATGGCAGCTGCAAGATACTTGGCACCGATGACAATCAGGACGGCTCCTGCCAGACAATCGAGAACAGCTGAGAGGGATTAGCTGCGGATCTTAGCTGATACCCGGGACGAGTCACTGACCGATTGAGGTCATGAACAACGCTGTAGGAAGATCTCGGTCAATATGCGACAGGTCCTGGCTGAACCTGTAAAACATGTTAGGCATCTACAGCTTTAGACCTCATTCTGGTATATTTACCTGTTAATCAAGTCGCCAGTGTCTGTTGATCCAAAGAACGACAACGGTGCCCTATAAAGAAGTAAGCCACGATGTGCACCACAGTCTGGCAAAATGTGACCCACCTCATGACAGACTGGAGAAGTGTCCAGTGCAAGCTTTGAGAAGACTTAGGCACGATCAGAACAAACATTATCCTGTGAGCTTCTGTTAGCAGAGTCGGAATTGTTAGTTGGCAGGAATATGCTTTGGCAACGTACCAGATATTGACGCCAATAACAAACAAGCCCACGACAGAAATCGCAGAGTAGACTCCAAAGTAAAAGCCTGTGTCTGATGAGCCAGTCCTTGCGTCCTCTTCCGTCCAGATCTTGAGCCAAATTTCTATCAGAGGTCAGAAACCATGGTCGATACAAGTATTTGAAGAGAACGTAAACTTACGAGGGAAGACTCGGAAGAAGCAGTCGAAAATCAAGGATATTGCACCAGCAGAGCCATACCACCAACCGATGGACTTCAGGTAGTACCAGTAGAGCGTAGTGTCACCCGCCTTTCTCAAGAGGTCCTGCTCTGATTCAGCCTCTACCCCTTTGGTTTGTGGTTGACTTTGCTGTCGAGATTTTGCGACTGAGATTGTCTCAGCGTCCTTCGCATCTTTGGGCTGCGCATCCTCGAAAGAAAGGCTCTGAAGATAGGCGCTCTCCCGAATAGTGTCAAAATTGCCTTGGCTGGCAATCTGCCCGTCATCGCCCAAAATGAGGACTTGATCCGCGAATTTGAGATATTTCACTTCATACGGTGTGAGTCAACGGCCTGGTTAATAAAAGTTTGAGATGTACACTTGTGTTTCCACTTACATGAGTGTGTTGTCAGGATCACGGTTGCGCCATATTGGCGGACAAGGCCTCGTGAGCTGAAAAGACAGTCCCAGATGTGAGTCTGGGTTGCGTTATCCAGTCCACTCAACGCATCATCAACAACTAGGACATGCTTTCTGGAGAACACTGCTCGCGCCAGAGCCTGTCAAAGCCAGTGAGCGACTATGCACGATTGCCAACAAGATGAAGGGGATCAACTCACAACCCGTTGCTTTTGGCCCCCGCTCAGGGATTGGCCTTTGCTTCCTACCACTGTGTGATCTCCGTTTGCTAGCTGAGAGAAGTCGGGCACGAGAGCGCAAGCGTGTACAACCCTTTCGTACCAGTCCTCATCGGTCGGTGTTTCGCCAAGAATGTTTTCCTTGACGGTTGCTGTCGTCAGCCAGGTTGTCTGAGCACAATACGCTACAGGACCTTTAAGAGTCTTGACCGATCCGGCAGTCGGAAGTTCGCCGAGAAGCCCCCGAAGGAGTGTCGTCTTTCCCGAGCCAATTCTACCAATCACGATAGTCATAGTTGAAGCGGCGATGCGGAGGTTGATGTCGTGCAGAATGGGCTCTTCGTCGACCTTGAGTCTAAACGAACCGTTCTGAACTGTCGCAACATCTCTCTGCTCGGAAGATGGCCCGGACGTCGTTTTCGTTCGCATTGTATGCATCTCTATGCCATTATCAGTTTCGGCGTAGCCACGGTCGCTAGGGTGGTTTGCAGCTTCAAGGAATTCAGGATTTGTGACCGTTGATGGCCTACCCTGTTCGAGGAAGGCTTGGATCCGTTCGAAACTTCCCAAAGATGCCACCAAGCTAGGTACCGAGGTGATCAGCTGCGCAAGAGGCCCAGCGATTAGGTCGATGATGGTAAGCGAGGTGAAGACCGTGGCGATAGACAGTGACAACCCGGCATTGATCTTTTGCGCAAGAATGGCAAGGCCAAAAGTGACAACGGGACCAATCATTGACGGGGCATTGCCTGAATACCAGGATGTCAGCTTATGATTAAAACACTTAATCAGAGATTCAAGCTTACCAAGCATATTCATATAAGTGATGAACCGGCGATACTGTTTTGCTCTGCGCAGCTCTGCCACTCTCAGATCTTGAATCGCACGCTGAAGGTAGTCTACCATTCCTAGCATCTTCGTCTCCTTAATTGCACCAAGAACATCCGAAGTGACTGTAATGCGCTTCTGGATTTCTTCGTTCCAAATCTTCGAGGCTCGAGGCATAAGTTTCGACAACCTCGCCATACCAATTGTGCAAGCTCAAGTCGATGTCAGATCAAGAGTATCATACTTCGGTTCAAGGTTGATTGCAGTTGCTTACCGATGATGGTTACAGCCGGTCCCACGCTTCCGAGGCCAAGCTGTCTTTGAAGTAGCCATATGGCAATGCCTATCTCAATGGGATTTGCCCACACCTCATGGATCGTTTCAAATGACCTGCAGATGGTTCTCACGTCGGTGCTGACCAAGGTCAATGGTGCAGACGAATCGCTGGCCTTCGCTGTATCTAGCTCGAGGTTATTGGACATAATGAGAGACACCAAAGATCCACGGATTATTGTGATGTAACGGAAGAGCTTGTGTTGGTAGAAACCCGTCGACAACTAACATAAGACAAGCCATGTTAATGGAGAGTACCTCAAACGAGCAGCATTACTGTGACCTACCGCGTTGCCCAGGTAGACTAAGCCCGTCGCAGCTATCAGACCGTATCCAACAGACTTGGAATCAGATCCTCGGTCTCCATCGACGTACTTGATGATTCGGTTGATGAGGAAAGGTTGCGAAAACTTGAATCCAACCAGGACGAGTCTGGGTACCGCCGTGACTAGCAAAGCCATCTTCGTCGTGCTGAAAATCGAGCGTAACAAGGCCAGCTTTCCGTGCCCTCTTCGTTGATTCCACGCGATGTTGAGTTTTTGGAGCAGGTATTCAGACCGCATATCATCATCGATGGCGTAGAGTGTCGACGGAGATAAGGTGGCCTTGAAGCCTCTTCCCAGCAAGCTGTTGAGCCACCAAAAGAAACCGCGGGCGACGATGCCGCTCGTGGCCTCGGGGCTCAAGTGGCGCAGAGCAGCGAGGAGGAATGTGCGTTTGCCTTGCACTTCGAGAACAAACATTGTCAACTTCAATGCCAGCGCTGCGCTGGAGACGCTGGCCAGGTTGTGCAATCCGGGGAGCAGCCATAGTGTGCGGCATTGCACGGCGTCGAAGATCAGTGAGAACGCCAGGTAGACGCAGATTGTGGTGGATGGTCGAATAGATCGGAGATGCTCTGCATGGCTCAGCAGAGTGAGGGCCAAGGCATCTAGAACACCGAGGACTGCGGCAGCGACGGAGACGCGGTTAGAGATCGGTGCTTGCGTCCATAGCGCGAGTGAGACGATTTGAAGTCCACCAAAGATGATGCAGGTGGCGATCTTTGCGACATTCGAAGGATGTCGTAGGACTTTGCGGCGTTGGTGAAGAAGTTGCTGTAGCCGGAAAGGGAGGGCTAGAAGCAGTACTGCAGACGGGCCAATATTGAGGATAGATTGTTCGAAGAGGAGGGTGAAGTCGAATCGATCGCTGCATATGGGTTCAGGGGGGCCGAAAGACCCCTCGCATTCGGCGATGGTCGTGAAGTTGTCCATAGCCGCTGCGACGATTGATGAAGTTGCAAGTCGATGGTTTAGGAACCTCTTGTTGGACGAACTTGCCTGGTGTTTTACTATGCGGTGCTGCCGATTAAGCCAAGGATCCCTTGATGCGCCTAGGCGACAAGTTTGGGGTGTTATCGTAAGTTCGCATGGAGTCAGGGTCCATACTGCTTCAAGACGCGAGGAATCTTGCGAGTCGGACTATGACTCGCAATCTGGCGCGACAATAGCGACAGTGCTGCTAGTGCTTGAAGGGCATCAAGACTTCAAGATTTGTTTCTTGAGCACTGGGCCACTAGCACCTGGATGAGACCTGATCATCGATTCTCGGGTTGGTCACGAATTACACGTTGAATCATTGATCTTGTCAAGCCGCACGAGAGATTTCACGCTTGTTCGGGCGGCTGAATGCGACTCCCGAGATTGGGGGACGAATGTAAGAACGATCACCAAACAGGAAGGTCATCTGAACATGGAAATGAATTGCAATGCGCTAAGGAAGTCGCTCAAGCTCCAGGCGTTCGTGCCGAGATCCGGTTGAGTGCTCTGGGGGCTTAAGCTGCTGCCAGACAAGCTTGGGTTAACGCAGACGTGGGTACAAGCTGCGCGTCTGGCTACGAGTTTTCAGGGATCAATGAACCTTAAGTGCTGAGGCTATCCTGGCCTGGACGTGATTGCACCGTATTCAAAGTCTTCACAAATCACAGAGACGATGATGACAAGTCAATTACAGCCATAATCGCGGCACGATGTTGAAGTGTCACCCACCAAGGCAAGGCAGGTAATCAGTACGGAGTAGCCCGTCGGGTCAGAAAGCTTGTCTGTCAGGCGAGAATTACCGAGGTTTACATACTAGGCTAGGATACCTTAACCTAAAACAATTGAGCGAGTCTCTTAAATCTCCACCACCACTCGATGTAGACACGCTGCCGAAACTCTGGAAGGTCGTTTATCCAGGCAATTTGACGATGTCTTCGACCACCTTCTCGGCAGCAACAACAATGCCAGCTTGCGGGTTCGCTGTGAAGATCCCATTGAGTATTCCTGCGTCGACAATGTGCAGGTTTCTCGTTCCGTAAACCTGCGCGTTAAGATCAACAACGGATTTACCACCTTCGAGAGCAGAGTCGGTTCCAAGACGGGTGGTTCCGACCCAGTGATTAGCGGTGCGGCCAATATCCACTGCCAACTATTCACATGATATATTCAGCTTGCTTTCATATCGAATTCCGTAGAAGAAGTGCGATTTACTCACATTTTGGACGTAGTCTCGCACGTCTTGACCAGGGGCGGGGTTGATCATTGTAGCCCCAGGAATGGAAGAAATTGCCCTGACAACTCCACCTACGGTAGTTACAACAGCCTCAAAGTCGTGATTCCCTTCATCATTGAAGTAAGGAAGTACGCTGACATCCATATTGAGGGACGAGTTGATTGTGACGCGACCTCTCGAAGTCTTGCCTAGTCCAAGGGCAGCTGCCATGCCAGAAGTATCTGTGGCGATCAGTGATGGTCATCCGAGAGCAGAGAGATGACTACCCACTGTATGCCCTGCCTCTTTGCGGCCCGCCGACATAGCTCGTCCATTGAAACCATCTTTCGATGTCGTCCTCTCCTTTAACCGCATCCCAGAAGACGGGGTTGATGTTCGGGGCTGCTTGTGTCAGTATGCCTGATCGGTTGGCTGCACGATTACTGTTAGTCAATAAAGTCAACCCATCTCGAACGGGAAGGTCTGCTATCTCACTCAAGTATGCTGCGGCGTCATCCGAAATAGGGTTGTTGTAAGCGCTGTTGAAGTCGTAGTTGACTATGTCCGGGTGCTCGAAGAGAATGTTTGTCTAAGAATAATCAACTTAGTTATACTATGGAGGGTTCTTTGAAGTAAGTCTTACGTTCAAATGGTCGTCGAGGCTGTAACCGACCGGAAGATCAATTCACTGGGTAGAGTCGATGAGAACGTCGCCTTCAGCTTTCTGGACAGTCTCTAGCTGATCTTTCGGGCCAATCCCACCTATAGAGACTGTCAGCAGTCATCTCACCATTGGAGTGAGGGGGGAACACTCACTTCGAAACAGGATCTTGGCTGAGCCAAATACTCCAGCAGAAAGAATAACTCGGCCGCCGGCAGCAAGCTTGACGGTGCCATGGTAACCGCCCTCACCGGCAGGCTCTACTTGCACACCAGTGATGCTATCTCCCCTTCTCTCCACTCTGGTGACGAGTGTGTTCGTCCAGAGTTTGAAGTTGTCACGAGCTGCTGCTGACGCAAGGTAAGTTTCCAAGAGCCCACCTCGCTCACCATGCTGGAAAAAGTACTCTGATTGAGAGACGGCTCTCCTCTTAGCATCTGGCTCATTGTTTGCGTTAACGATGATCCATCCGTTTTCAACGAGCCCCTTATTAGGTCGTTGGCCTCACGGTTGTACAAGATACCATCGCTGGAAGGGACATCAGTCAAGGGAACACGCTGAAAGACTCGGTCTGTGGCAGCAGACAGGTCCTTAGCTTTCCACCCATCATGAAACTGTGTATTCCAGTCCAAGCTTTGAGGCTACGGAACATAAGCTACAGCCTACGAAGACCGAACCAGAAGAAAAGCAAGGATGCACTTACCTTGAACCAAAGGCCCGCGTTGATAGCAGATCCACCGCCGAGAACACAGCCTGCCATGGGAACGACATCCGGACATTTGATGCCAGCGCTATCTTGCCATATCTGGCCGTAAAGCCCAGGAACGTCGAACCTTGTAAGATTCGAATTCTCAAGCCAGGCCCCTCTCCGCCCTACACACAATTGTCAGAGCTTGGTGCCGCAGTTAGCCCAGCGATCTTTATTGACTTACTTCCGCCCCATCTGAAAGAAGATGGAGGTTCTCTTTCGATCAGAAGCACACTCTTGCCGCTAGCAGACAGCTTATCAGCAGCGACGATTCCTCCCGGGCCACTGCCCACAACGATGTAGTCATAGGTATCATCGGGGACAGTCGCAGCAAGTAGTGTCATTGACACTTGTCAAATGGTCAGCTATGTGGTCTGACTCGAAATTCAAGAACGTACACTGAGCCAGAGCAAGGCCCGAAAGACCCGAGAAGAGTTTCTTTATCATGCCCGTTACAGCGACTCGAGGCGAGACAACATGCACCTTGTTGTGAGAGGAGAGTTTTGGAAGGTGGCACACAAATCCAAGTCGAAATAATGGAAGCACATGGCTTTCAATCTGAGTTGAAATCAGACTGGTGTACGGGGCCGAGCAGTCGGCGTCTCGAACTTGGGAATCAGGGGGCAGGGGACTATAATACCGAAATCGTCCCGGAGAGTAATGCCACTGCACATGCCGGTACTTAGCTGATCAGTTTCCAGGCAACCGTTCGAGTTAGTGTGCACTTTCCGGGGCTGTAAATTGCCGTGACATTGAAGATAGTCCATACATTGCCCTCGCAACCTTGAGACTTGACAGAACGAATTAACTCCGTCAATTTGTTGTTCATCTTGGTAGAGACACTTGGAATAGTATCGTCTACCGCCGATAGAAAAAGATCTAAACGGTCACCTCCTTCTTTCAATATCTGGCCAGAACGTTAGGCATTCCCCAAGACTGCAGTAGCTGGGCGCTGTCCGGCAGGTCTACTGTCTCACTGCTTGGTAACAGGGTTGCTTGACGGGACTTCAATCCTGCGCTTTTGGCTCATGGGTAACATATCATGTGGGATGGAATCAATCTTGTAGTGTCTAATACTCAAGGAGCGCGGCATTGTATGTCTCCGAGATCCCGACGGAGACTTAGCACGGCCAAAGATCGAAACAGCCACTCTATTTAGACATGGTAAGACACATTAGGCAGCAATAAAAGTCTGTCGAAGTGAACAAATCGTAAGCTTAAATTCATCAAGCTTCAATGATAAAACCCACGCACAAGCACGTGAGAATAGGTATTCGGACACTGTCTAATTTCCTTCTCAAACGCTTGACTTTGCCTTGTGGGAAGAAATAAAAGGAGGTCTACTTCCATCGGCCCTACACTTTCCGGTGGCATAAGATATGAGCCCCGACCTATCTTGGTAACAAAAGGTTTCAATACTGACCAGGAGCAGTGAGACCTTGATGATACAAGACCAATCAGTCGTCAGATCCGTCAAAAACTTCAAAATGAAAGGGACGAGACTCGAACTCGCGCGGGTTGCCCCACCAGGAAACAGATGTTAAGCTGACCTTAACCTGGCGCCATAACCAACTCGGCCACCCTTCCGAATGTTGGATGTCCATTTCAAAATCTGTGTATATGTTGCCGGTCTGTGTGTTAGTGAGCTCGTGTGCTTTGTATGCGCCGCGCTGACGACCGCCTCATAACATTGAAGCTCCCCCTCAAGTTCGTATCCCAATCCACTGGAGACGTTTTGCCGCATAATCAGCAATCACTTGCGTTCGGCGTAATCACACTCTCTGGCAGTCTGCAGAGGCATGGAATGCTGAATAAGAACGCGCCTGCAGCGACCGACCCGCGACCAGACTTCCTGCATATAAGAAAATGCCGATGCATCCAACCATTCCGTGCACAAGTCCGCTCACAGCTGAAGTACCAGTCTTATGTCAGGAATAGGAAGAATACTTTTGTTGGACACTGAGAATATCTGTGATTGAGTTGAGCGCTGAAGATGTTTACCCTGTCCAGAGCATCGTCGCACGGTCCAGCGCTACTAAGCAGCTTACCACAGCCCTATGATGGCCTGGACCACGCCGTCGAGCCCTGAAATTCCCCAGACTTGGCGCCACAGTCCCCGGAGAACTCAAGCGTGACTTGTTTGTACACGGATTATGGGAAGGAGTGTTTGGGGGGGGGAGAACATCCCTCAATTACCAGAGGAATTCAGAAATGAATGGCTTAATTCTCACTGAATTGGCATTGACGTTGGAAATGAGGTTGGACACCGACATGGAGATCTCAAACCTTATTTGAACAAAGCATGGAGGTGGGATGTAGCCGAGCTGAAGAAGGCAACAGTGAAGGTTTGAGACATCTGATTGTCACCAGACGAAGCGTGCAGGCACGCGGGGCCCAGCCGGCTGGCTCACTACATGGTTCCGACGCCAACAGGCGGCAACACCCCTTCGATCACAGATGGTGCGCAAATCTTTCCCATTCCTGTGGCACGTATTCTAGAGTGAAGCTATCTCATTTGAACTGATGTCTGTTTCCGTTTTCAGTCGACACCCGATTGCACCCACACATTCTCACAGCGCCGGTTGAAGGCAAGACAAATGCTCGGAAATCTAGAGCGCCGTGAGCGGTAGCACTAATTTTGTAGATCCGATCGTGGAGACGATAGTCATGCCATCTCCTCGGGCCGGCCGCATAGGTTGGACAGATCCGGCCGAAGAATTCATTTTGACTCTTTTCGGACGGGTGCGTGAAGTGACGGACTCTGATCCTTAATGACCGGAAACGGAATAAAGCGCAGACTGGAGTAAGGCTAGAAGTTAAAATTCCTTATCGAAGATCTGCTCTAGAGAACCTGGGAATGTTCCCGTGACCGCCGTATCCGCAAGCGATGATAGCCAAAATAGCACCAAGATCTCCAACTAGAGGATACTCAGAACATCTGAGATTTAAGTATCGTGTCATCGAGACTGAAATTGCGTCAATTCTACCAGTCCCCCCCCCCCCCCCATCGCAGACTGCAGCTTTCTTTGATATAAGGTCAATCATTATCAATACTTCGTCGGCTTTGTGAAGGATGGTTAGACTTTCCATTGTTGGACTCCTGTCCTTGGCGGGAATCGCTGCAGCGGCCACCTCTCCAGATCAGACCTGTGGAGGTTCCAATAGTTACACCTGTCCAGGGTCTCAATGCTGCAGTCAATACAACTGGTGGTAGGTTCAACCTCGATAACGAAGGGCAAGACTGCGGAAAATTGCCAAGGCTGACCTGATATACTAGTGGAACAACTGACGCACACTGCGGAACAGGATGTCAGTCCAAGTTCGGCAAATGCACAACAAGCTCTGGCAGCAGCGGGAGCAGCAGCACCAGCACCAACGGCAAGGTCAGCTCGGATGGTACCTGCGGCGGCACAGCGGGATACACTTGCAAGGGAAGCACTTTCGGAACCTGCTGTAGCCAGTGGGGATATTGTGGTAACACGGATGCCCATTGCCTCAACTCCTGCCAGTCAAAGTTTGGTGACTGCAGCTCCGTCACCAACGGCGGCAAGACGGTCAGCCAGGATGGAACCTGCGGTGGCACGATTGGAAACACGTGTCGAGGTAGCAACTTCGGTGACTGCTGCAGTCAGTGGGGATACTGTGGCTCGTCTACCGATCACTGCAGCACCGGCTGCCAGTCATCCTTTGGAACCTGCTCTGCTTCCTCAGGCGGAGGGGCTGCAGCCTCTTCTTCAGCAGCGCAACCTGCATCCACTGGCGTCAAGACAAGTCCAGACAACACTTGTGGTGGCTCCAATGGCTATACATGCCCATCTGGGTTATGTTGGTAAGTTGTAGACGATACTTCCTATCTTTTTGCAACATCAGAACACTGACAAGTCATCTTATAGCTCGAAGAATGGATACTGCAACACCGGCGATGACTTCTGTGGCTTTGGATGCCAGACCTCTTTTTCACCGGGGACTTGTTCAACCTGCCCTGGCTCAGCATGCGCTGGTACGGTGACCAGCAACCCAACTTGCTCCGCAAACAACGGCTACTGCTGGACATTGAGTTCAAAGAAGTTCCAAATCATTTGCGGAAGGCTTGCTTCCGGAGACTATCTTGGATATGTTGATGCCACAAGCTTGGGAGATTGCATTTCAAAGTGTGCTGCAAACTCAGCTTGTGTCGCTGCTTCTTTCTACCAGGGCAGCAGCACAAGCTGTAGTTTGCTGGGCAGTTACCAAGGTTCTGCTTATGGTAACTCGGCTGGTGGCCAGCAGAATCATGCTTACGTCCGCGATCCCAGCTGCGGGTGAAGGCGTGTTGTGAACGTTCTTACGTGCCAGGCGGCTTGGCTATGGGTCATAGCCACGGCGACGGAACACGGTCCCTGTAGCACACGGATTTTTCAAAACACCATAAGCCTGTACATTTGATTCAATAAAGCCCTGGTACTGACTACTCAAATACGACGAAGGATGAAATATCAGAAAAGCGTCATCTCGTCAGCTGCGGAAATTGACTCTCGAGAGGCCATGCGTGCCATTGAGGAACCTGCATCCCACGTGATCTGCGAACTGACAGCAGGATATCGGCCAGACCTTCTTCGCCTCTGGGAAGAGCTATTTCCCATGCTGTCCTGTCTTTCGAATACATGGCCTCGGGATCGGCGCCGAGGTCAAGTAATTCCCGCATAGCTCAGAGCCTATGATAACGAGCAACGGCCAGCAGCGGTGTTCTTCCTTCCCCTCCGGGGGCCTCTACTTTGGCACCTAACCTGACTAGAGTCCTAGGGACGTCAGCGATGGCCCCAGGACCACTCTTTAGAACTGCATGCTTCAGGGCAGTCCTGCCAACTCTATTTCGCGGCCCAAATTTGGCACCATGTTCATTTAGAAACTCAAGAACATTCGTCTGACCAACTCCTGTCGCTAACAACAATGGTGTCTCTCCAATCTAGCCACCGCGATATTTAGCACCCAATTTACCCACGACGGTTTCGAGCGCCGTTTTAACGTAGAAATTGCATCTCCATTCATCAACCGAGGACTTTTTGGGGAGGGGGGGGCGAGTCGAGGGCTCAAAATGTCAATAACTGAAAAACTAGGTGAGGAGGATTATGGATGTGAGTCTTTGTGCAGCTGTGACTTATCCTAGAGAAATATTGAATCGAGAATCGGGACCGATGTATTGTCGGAACAGACTTAGCTCAGTGAGTGTTGATAGCTTTTGATGATTCGCGGGAATAGTCATCGTACGTATGAAGAACAACACGAGATTTACAAATTTACTTAATTCATTTGGCATTCTCTGTAGAGGTTAACTAGTACCTATGCTGTGTGATGAGCAACTAGAAAAACACATATGCAATGCCTTCAGATGTAAGAGCACAGTTAACGCTGGCTTGTGTGGTCTCAATATCTTCATATCTATGTTTCACAACTCGAAATTGATGCAGACTTGCCGTTGTTGCTTTTCAAACGTTTTCAACGGCGAACAGAACGCCGGCAGGTAGGCATAATGGCGGCCAATTGCTAGAAAAGGAATCAATCGTAGTGAAACCCCTTCAACTCCTCTCTCAAGCTAGACGAAAGGCTATGTACACATAGGCTGCACAGGCATTCACATAATGCCATCTACTTGACCGCCCCTTCCTTTCTGTTGGAACATCATTTCAACATAACTCGTGCTATGCTGTGACTTGAACACCGTTCATCGAGCCGACAGTTCGCCAACCCTCCAGGAATTTTACATAGGCATTTATGCCATGTGGGAACGGCGCTCCTCTGGCCAACTTCATTTGCGCCTCAGGCGAGGCTTTCTCGCCCTCATTGTTCATGTAGCTTGGTGTACATATAGACAAGCTAGAGAACCAAGCCGCATGCTGCATAATGAAACCGACGTATGCTTCTTCCCCCTCCAATGTGCTCTCTATGACCGCCTTATTGGTGCTTTTGCCCGCGCGCTTCATAGCTTCGACTACCATGTATGCACAGTGTTGAGAGAGGACATCCTGGGCGTAAGCAAAGTTTGCCGCGGCGCCGATCTGCAAGGGGCCGGTCAGGAACAGGTTTGGAAACCCGTTTGTGAGGACGCCGTGGAGGGTCGACGGGCCTTTGCCCGACCACTTCTCGGATAGAAGCTCGCCGTTCCGGCCCTTGATGGTCATGTTGGACCTGCTTGATGGCTCGGCCATGTCTGCTGCAGGCGGCCTGTATCCAGTGCTCAGCACAATGACGTCGAGGGGATAGTCTGTACCGTCGACGACTAGTGAGTTCTTGGTGGCATGGTCAACTCCTTTGCCGTTTGTATCAACAAGATGGACATTTGGAAGATTGAACGCCGGGAGGTAATCGTCGTGGAAGGTTGGTCTCTTGCACCATGATGGGTACCATGGCTTCAAAGCCTCAGCAACCGACTTGTCCTTCACGATCTCCTCAACACGACGTCGAATCCTCTCTGATCTCGGTGCATCCATGGCCAGAAGACTGCCGATGTGGCCGGGAATGTCTTCTAGGCCAAGAGGCTTCTCGTGTGGTGCGCCGACAAGGCCTTTGTAAGTCTTAATTTTCGTCCAGCCATCATCTACCAAGTTCTCTTCTGCCTCGCCGCCAGAAACAAAGGCATTGAAGTTTTCGAGGCGACGCCTCTGCCAGCCTGGGCCGTCGGCAATCTTCTTCCACTCTTCTGGATGAGTAGGCCTCTGGCCTCTATCTTCTACAGATGACGGCGTTCTTTGGAAGACGTAGAGCTCTTTGGCCCACTTGGCGAGCTGTGGAACGAGCTGAATGGCGGTTGCACCAGTACCAATGATGCCAACACGTTTTCCCTCAAGACCAGTAAGCTGGACGTTCTCGAGGTCCTCCGGGTTTCCACCAGTGACATCGTAGTTCCACCGCGCAGTATGGAACATGTCACCCTCAAAGGCCTCGAGGTTCTTGGCCGCTTTGGGATGGTTTAAAACGCCATTGGCGAGAACGACGAACTGTGATCGAACCGTCATCGTGATGGGCGACTCACCCGGGCCGCGGACCTGCTCGATAACAACAATCCATCGCTTAGCATCCTCGTCCCACTCGTAGCTCTTGATCTGCGAGCGGAACACAGCCTTGTCCGTCAAGTCCCATGTTTCTGCCATTCGGTCCGCATGACCTCGCAACTCGTGGCCATATGAATATCGGTGCTTCGGAATATAGCCCGTCTCCTCGAGGAGCGGCATGTAGGTGTAGGATTCGACATCGCACATCAGACCCGGGTAACGGTTCCAATACCACGTGCCACCAAATCCACCAGCGACGTCAACAAGACGAATATCCTCAGGCTTGAAGCCGGCCTGGGTGAAACGAATCGCAAACAGCAAGCCTCCGTAGCCGGCGCCGAGGATGATGAACTTCACCTCGTCACCATCCTTGAGGTTCGGTGTCTGGGCGTTGAGCTTCTCATGATCGACCCATGGGTCTTGGGCTAGTTTGCTGAACTTCGCATCCGTCTCCATCTCTATATACTGCGCGTTGCCGTCAGACCGCTGGCGCTTCTCTTTCTCCTCTGTGTACTTCTTGTTGAGGGCCATGAAGTCGGCCGCGGCAGCTCCGGCCGCGGTGTCTGTCGTGATCTGTGGAGGTGCGGCCATGTTGACGTTTGGCCTGCGAGTCAAATTGAGGTGTAGTTGAGGTAGGGGGTTCTGCTAGACGACATCTCTATCATTTACGAGGAGGCGAATCTTCTCGTTTTGAGTCGCCAAAATATGGGGGCACATGTCCGTTGACGACAGTCCAAGCGGTGTCCTCAAACAGCTCTAGTGACATATTCCATGCTCGCACTTGTCTTGTCATCTGATCTCAATTGGGGTTCCCTAGAAGAGGGTCAAGCATCCCCGCGTACCACAGTTTTCCAAGCCGCTGCGTGTTTGCGGGTCGTCGTATTACAGCTTCATTCTATGGATTAGTCGGAGAGTACTATGAGCCCGACGAGTCATTCCTCACTTCACCAATGCCTCCAGATCGACACAAACGTATTCGTATTCGTTCGTCGCATTTCTAGTGCAACATAGCAACGTCGCTTAAAGAAAGATGCGGTAGTTGATGGTGGATCTTGGCCTCTGCCGGATGGAAACGATCTCAGGATCCACATAGACCCGCCAGGCTTCTAAGGGATCCGCTCCTGCTCCGCTGCATGGGTAGCCGTTGCGGAGAAGCTGTCGTCCAAAGATGGCCAGATGTGACAAACTCCGTGTGGTCTGGCGTGTAACACCACCTGCATGTCTTGGTGGGTTATCGTAGCTAGAAGTCCTGTTATAGGTTGAATTATCAAGGAACTTGGAGACGAACCTGCGTGTCTCGTCTGGGCCCTGGCGGGTGGCGCATCTGCTGCATCATGGATCCATGGTGTCATTGTCTAACGACTCGATGCATGTTGTTCCGTGCAGCGCGCTCGGTTTCGAGACCCCAACGCGACTGGCCCGCCGCTACGAGACCGAAACCGATCAGACGACCCCATGAACGGGTAGTTCCCGCTACACTGGGCGGGAGCGACCGCCGTGTGCCACAACCAGCACGCCCGGTGTCATAATTGACCTTTAAGACATAGATAAGGTGAGGACTGACGGGCGACGTTGACGTTTATGCGCTTCTCGTCTTCAGACATGAGTCTCATAGTGATGTGGTATTAAAGCTAGGAATAAGCTTGCATCAACTCAAATTTAATGCAGCGGGGTATGGGATGGCCGAGCCTATGTTGACCACATGCTGGCGACGAAGTTAGATTAGTCTCTGCATGAGCTTGAAGTCGATGTCTGAGGTACGGATTGACTAGGTTTTCCTTCATTCTTACATTCGCACGGCGCGGCTCTCTGCGTAGCCACCGGTTGTGGACAAGATTCTCCGATCGGTGCAGTATTAAAACCAAGGTAGAAGAGGTCACCCCTCTCGATGTCATCTCACAAAGTGATCTGAGAGCCCATCACAGTCCTGGGCGAGGTACATACGTGTCTGAAGTAAATAACACGTGAAGTGCTTTACTTCAGTTCGGGAATAAGAGAACAGTCTCGCTCAATGTTCTGCTTGAATTCTTTTTTCGAAGATTGAAGTTTGGATGCCCACGTGCATTCAAATTAGGCGCAACTGAAAATCGACGGCTCGCGATCTAAGCACCGACTGGCATTTCTACCCACTTTCGTACAAGCCCATTGCACTACTGCTGGCCCCCTGTTCACCTCAACCCCCTGACTTTACCCCTCAAGCGAAGCGAAGGGTTGGTAGAGGAGCCAGATATTTCATAACCCAGGCTGGTGCGTCATCGCAAGACCAGTTCGCTTTTGTGCTTGCTTCAATGAATCAATGCATCAACCGAAACATCACACATTGAAGAGATATTTCTGCAAGTGAGTTCAAGTTATCCCCTACATTTCTGCCCATCATAGCTGACCTCAGATTCAGCATCTCGAGATCATGGCTTCCGTCACAACGAATGACTTGCATCTTCCCGACTACGATGACCTTCCGCCTGTCGAGGGCATGCCCAAGGGCTGTGCCTGGGGACTTTTCGACAAGGATGGAAAGAGGGATGTCTTTGGGACTTTGAACTTGCTCACACCTTCAGTTGTGAAGGCAGCAGGCGCTGAAATACAGGATGGCGTGTCCATTTCGCTGAAGTGAGACGTCACCATCACCAGTGTATGTTGAACGAACGAGATATCCGAAGCTAACACAAAGATGCATAGTTGGCCCCTGGATAGTATGAACAAGCTGGCTATCCCGGGACGCAAGCAATCGGTTCATAAGGTGCACACGCTACAGACTGCCGGGCTCAGCCAAGGAATCGGCTGGGATGACGAGCTGGAGTTCAACACACAAGGCAGCAGTCAGTGGGACAGTCTTGTCCACTGGCAGCATCAGCCGACGGGATTCGCCTACAACGGCTTCAAGCCAACTCAAGAAGAACTTTCGGCGACGTCAACGGCGACAAACAAGATGCCCACCATCGATCACTGGCATGAGCGAGGTGGGGTAGTAGGACGCGGGGTCCTGATCGACTACAAGGCATATGCCGACTCGAAGGGGATAGACTACCATCCCATGGAGGGCTACCGCATCACTATCGAAGATATTGAGGCTGTAGCCAAACATCAAGGCGTAGAGTTCAAGCAGGGCGATATTTTCTTGCTTCGCACAGGCATTACTGAGATCCTAGATAAGCCTACGCCGGAGGATTTCGCAAAGTTAGGGCAGTACAAGTTATCCGGCGTGCATGGTACAGAGGAGACGGCCAAGTGGTTCTGGAACAAGCACTTTGCCGCTGTTGCTGGCGACTCCAATGCCTTTGAGGCATTTCCACCTCTCAAGCCAGACGGAACTCTGGCAGAGATGACTGATCTTGGTACGTCACTGTGATGAGCTGGATGGGAACTATGACAAAACGAGACCAGCTAACTCTTACTGCAGTTCTTCACCCCTACTTCTTGAGTCTTTTCGGCATGCCCATCGGTGAGCTATGGGATCTCAGTCGCCTGTCAGCATACTGCCAAAAGACAGGAAGGTACTCCTTCTTCTTGACCTCTGCGCCTATGAACGTCTCTTGTCTCGTAGGATCGCCGCCAAATGCCCTGGCGATATTCTAGAAGCTTGGCAAGGATGTTGGAAGCGCCATAAGTCTTACGGAAAAGCCAAGACCGTACGAATATCAAAGCGAAATGGTTACGCACTATGATTATAGAACCCAGTGACATGACGAAGATGACAGGAAACAACCATTATCATTAATAAGCTTATTGGTATCGAATATCACTGACGCATCATGAAATGTAGGTCTTCCATACACTGCATGTACTCTAGCACGCGGAGTTCCGCCTGTTTCATCCCGGCGATTCCCAACTCCAAGGTAATCACGGATATTCAGATCATGACAACATCCACCAACAGTATCGAGCTCGCCTTAGTTACTGCATAGCGGCGTAGACGAAGCCGGCAGCAGCGGCAGCAGCAACAGCCATTCCAGTCTCTCTCGGTGCAGCGCCCGCGCTGGTGGCAGTCTCCTTCGCCCCACCCTCGCTGGTGAGCGCTGCCAGTTTGGTGCTGCAGTAGCCTCCAGAGGCCAGAAGGCTCTTGACCTCGGCCGCGATGATGGGGATATCGGTGCACTCATGCCACACGGCTCGCATCTCCGACATATGGGCGGTTTGCCATGACTCAACGGCGTTTGACCACGAGGTGTACTGGGCGCTCATTGAGTCTGTGACGGAGATGGTGCTGCAAGGGTCTACCGTGCCATTGGCAAGGGATGCGGTGGCGGCCCACTCTTGAAGGGCGAAGTTCGGCGTGGGAAGAGGGTCGTTGCCGGTAACGGCGCTGGCGAAGGCGTAGACGGCGTTTGTGCACTCGGGCGTGCCGCGGGCTTCAAGGACTTTGATGATCTTGGTCGGTTCGATTCTCTTGTGGAGCTGGAGGTGGACGTCGCCGGCGGCAGCAGCAACAGTTGCGGCGAAAGCGCCAAAGATGACGGTAGCAACGCGCATGTTGATTCAGTCACAAATACGAAGTAGGAGGATTTTTTCAATAGGTTGAGCTTGATAGGTGCTGTTCGAAAGAGACAGAGTCCTCAAAATGGTAATGCAATTACAGATCGTGGGCATCCATTATCAACCGAAACAGAGCAACTATTTATCATCGGGAGACAAGCTACATTTTCAATTCATCGTGGGCTGATGCCTACAAGCAATCAAAGGTACCCTTGCCCGATGACTCCGGCGAGGAAATGAATTTTCAAGGGCGAGCTGAACTCGAGGTCGACCAGTTTCCCTTCCAGGTTAATTCAATGGCACTCAACAACATTAGTCTGGACAAGCTTCTGACTGTGCCGCCCGGCTGCCTACACAGCGCATCTTGGCGCTGATTGCGGGTTGAAATCTGAGCCGCTTGATAGGGCCGAAGAGCGCCGTTGACCGTTGTCTGACCCCGTAATGAATTTCCGCTCACAACCGCAGACCCTGGTCCTGTCAGCCTAGGTTACCAGCCAACAAAGCAAGCGATTACACGGCCTTCGGGCGGTGAGGAGGATCACGAGGAGAATCTCGGGGGCTGAATACGTGTGGTATTGCACTGCCATCCCGAGCGACGGTAAGTTGTCAGACGGCCATTGTCTAGAATGCTGTGCCGCTTGTGTTGTTCACCCGTAAGCCAGAGTTAAAGCGTGGGTGAGTGCCACAGGCTGTGTTACACTAAAGAAGAATGGAAAAGAAGACGGCATGTATTGGATTGGCAGCTAATTTTGGCCTAGACCGTCAAGGTTGGCCTCAATTCTTGCCAGGGATTGGACTTGGAGCGGAGCTGTGTCCGTACCTGCATAAGCTACGGTACCGAGGCCCTGAAGCCAAATCCGCCGCTTGCTGACATGGGCACATGTGTCAGTACCAAAGTCCCTCATCTTTAGAAGCAAGGTAGGTGATTTTCATCTGGAACCAATTGATCAGGATACGAGACATAACCGTGAGGTGATAAATGGGTCTGAAGGAACAATTGACGATGTGGCGAACGCTGATGTGACTTCGATTTAGATAAGGTAAGTGGGAATGACGATGGTGGGAGGCCGACCTAAGCCATCCTGGCAAAGCCCACGAGCTCACCTGGTACTCAATCCAGCATGGGTCTAATTTAACCACAATAGGTGCCCCAAGTACCCTCACAAGTGTGAATGCAGGTAAGTCAACAGAAAGCCTTGAGGGTACTTTATCACAAGATGGCTCTTGAGGGCGTCAGCAATTGTTGGATCAAATGGCGATTGCATGTCGCGTATTGTGGGTAATGTTGAATTCGCATTCATCCTGCGCGCAGTGAAGTCAATGTGGGGAGTCTTGAAGTTGGAAATGGTATGTTTTCCGCCCGATTGAGTCACGATGAGGACACCGCCGACTTGTACCTTGATTCTTCAGGCACTTTGAGCGACAGTCTTCTCATAATTGTGCTGCAACAAAGCACCTCTGTAACGAGAGAGAATTCGAAAGAGTACAGAATTGCGATTTTGCAGGCTCAGTCGTTCATGGAACGATGAAGGGGGAAATCGATAGGTTGCCAGATCCAAGGGGCAGAAGTTGGAGGAACAAGCTTAGATTCACAAGCGCCTGTGTAACTCGCGCCCGACTGCCATGATGAACGAAACTCGGCCCCTTCATGTTTTTTCTACCTTGGGAATAAATGACATGGTCGTGGCTATCGAGTGTTAAACCTCAGAGACTTGGCGATTCAACATCTTGGCATCCCAGAGAGGACCATTGAAAGGATGCGCCGCGGTAAGTCAAAGTGCCAGGGACGAGTACTCGTCTTGAAATGTTGCTCGGGAAGATACCCTAGGCTTGTCTTCATGGCCAGCCAGTGGTTGTGTTTGAGAGCAGCATTATACGCAGTAAGTATCGGAAAGAAACAACAGGTGACATACCATCTCTGTTGCTGTCAACCTCTCATTGCGTTAAGTCTATTTAGGAAGTCTATTTAGGATATCCTAGTAACACTCACGTCGCTGAGGATAGTGGGGTAGGAGTGGGCAGAATGACGCGGGAAAGGTCTGTAAAAATACCAAACCATTGGGCGAATTGACTAGTTTCTGAGTTTTTCGGTGGGAACAACGGCGGAGGCGGCATGCGTAAATTTTGTCATGCAGATCGAACCCTAAAGCTTGCTCGGAACAACTGCACACAGAACTTGATCTAACTTCACAGCCTTGTTGGCTCCGGCATCTCTAGTTTTTCCGTCTTTCTACGACGAAGAACATATCTGACTCTACTTAGCAGCTTTTTTTTTTTTAAGCTGCGTCGCCCAGTACTTGCCATAGTCGCATCAACGCGAAGATCGTGTACCGCCAGCAGTCCTCCAAAATGGCGCACCAGAACGGCGGAAACACGGTCTTGTTGACCGAAGAAGAGGCCCAGCGGATTCGGACTACTGTACAAGAGACGCAGAAGAAATGCTCATCGCAAAAGGGCAACGCCAGAGAGTTTCGAGATGCTCACGCTACTGTCAGCCAGGCGACTGGTACCTCACTCATGATGGACATGGGTCAAATGACTGGACAGGGTCAGAAGGACACAATCCCAGCGCTTGGTGTTGGGCAGGCATACCCACCAAGCACCGCATCCCTGGATGAACTCAAGCCCATGACATTTTCGGAACTCACAATGGAGACTCACCACCGGGGACGTTCTTTGACAGTGCAGCGTGCGAGGCGCTGTCCAGTGGTAGCTCTTGCTGCCCGCTCATGGACCGTTGTCCAAGATGAGGAAGACAAGGAGACGGAGCGTTTGGAGATGGTCCTGCATAAAACAACAGACGGCGAAGACACTCTTGAATCGGCACGGCGGTTCATCATCAAAGAGCCGTATTTCACACTGACGGAAGAGGGTGAGGCTACCCTGCGGATCGACCACCCCTCCGATCTCGTCATCATCAGAGAGGAGATTGTGAAAGGCAGCTTGGGCGAGGTCGAAGATGGAACGAAGGGGGATGAGATCGCAAAGAAGTGCAAGGACAAGGGTAACGCGGCACTACAGAAGAAGGACCTCCCTCTTACTCGGATAAGTTACAGCCAAGGACTCAAGGTTGCCAGACAAGAGCCTGTCCAAAAGACGAACCCGGATATCGCAAGAGACATTGCACGGAACCGAGCTCACGCACATCTGCTTATGGACCGACAAGATGAAGCCATCGCCGACGCCAAGGCCTCTCTTATTGGTGCCGACGACCAGAAGTCTAAGGAACTCGACAGCAAGGCCTGCTTCCGCGCCGGGAGCGGCGCTTATAACTTGGGCCGCTTTGAGGAGGCCAAGCAGTACTTCGAGAAGGCCCACGAACTCGCACCTGCAGAGAGAGGCGCGGCAGTCTATCTACGCAAGGTGGAGATGCGGCTTCGCGAACAGGAAAAGGGGTCATACGACCTGCAGAAGATCAGGGCCAACCTCACCAGAGTCTCACCACGGGCCGATGCGGCAACCTTCACTGCGAAGACTGAGGTCAAGGATAGCAAGGGGCGAGGTCGTGGCCTGTTCGCGACTTGCGACATTGCTGCTGGTGAGATAGTCATGGTTGAGAAGGCTTTCTGTGTGGTCTGGGGCCATGAGAGCGAGGTTCTGACCTCAATGACCTACGATGTCCGCGACGACAAGATTAGAGTAGCACCCGTAGGCCTGACCAAGGCCATCTCTCAGAAGCTACTTAGGAACCCTTCCCAGATCAAAAAGGTGCTGGATCTTTACGGCGATTATCAGGGCGATGGTAAGGCCACGTCAGAAACCCCAGAGGGCCCGGTGGTCGACGTCTTCCGGATTCACGATATCGTCTCTCGCAACGCCTTTGGGCCCGGTGGCCAGTACGGAGAGGAAGGCGCGAGGAACGCAAGCACCGGTCTCTGGGTTTGGGCAGCCTATATCAACCACTCCTGCATCGCCAACGCCAAGAAGGACTACGTTGGCGACCTGATGGTCCTCCGCGCGCTTCGACCGATTGCAAAGGGCGAGGAAATCTTCCACAGCTACGATGAATCGAGCAACTACGAGGCGAGACAGAAGGCTCTTATGACTACGTGGGGCTTCGAGTGCAACTGCGCGCTTTGCGCTGGTGAAAAGACCGACGACGCCAAGTTGCGCCAAAAGCGGCAAATGCTGGTCAACGACGCGGACGACTTTGTTTCGACGACGCACTGGACCAACGCGAAGAGGATTACCATTGCCAAGGCTCAGCGCCTGGCGAAAGACATCGACGCGACATACGAAGATAAGAAGTACGACGGTGTTCCTCGTCTGGCATCAGAGAGGGTTCGGGAATGGCTCACAAAGGCAGCTCCTCGCAAATGAACATGAAACCACAGAGTCCTACAATGTTGGATAGACTCCTCGATCTCGTCGTGGACGAGGAAAGCAGGATAATCCATCTGCCTGCATTAGATATAGACCTCCTCAGATAAAAGGCCGTATCAGACCAGATTCTCTGACTCATGCTAAGCAAACGTTCATACTCGCCATAGCGATGCTACGGCCTCTTCTCGATACTTACGAGTGATGCTTTCGCAACTCAAGATTTTTAAGCTCGGTAAATACCGGACCGCTGCCCTAATTGATTTGCTTGCGTGAAGCTGAAGTACCGGCCGGAAGCTCGGCTTCCAAACAACGAAGCAGCTAGGAATTGAAGGTATCTTAACGCCACGCGCCTCAGATATCTCTTTTCAGGTTGACTTTATCAACGAGAAGCCCGAGATTCGGGCCTCTTTGTGCGACATCCAATGTTGTGGTGCGCTGATCACGTTAAAATATATTCTTTTGGGTAATGACAGGGCAATGACTCGTTCAGAGCGGAACCGCATGGGCCCTGCGGAACCGCAACTCCTGATGTTGTACCTTGTCACCAACGCGACAACAAGGGAACATCGTCCCCCATGATCAGCGAAGATGTCCAGTTAGCCGATTGCGGGGGAGTACTCTTGCACTTAACAGGCTTTCCGTGAAGTTGGTCCTGGTTTCCGTGCTTGCCGAGACGAACCACAGACTCAGAATCAGGTGCTTCCCCTCTTCTGCAGGCAATATCCCCACATCAACCCCAGACGTCACGGAACGTCAGCCCATAAGCTCACAGCCTGCTCGTCACTCATGTGATCTGACAATTCCCAGTCCAGAGCCTTGGGATCGCTTGTCAATGATATTTACCAAGCTAGCATCCAACTTCGTCATTGTGTGAATGCCTTATACCTGTCTGTCCTGAAATGTTATATAATTCACTTCGATCGTTTTGAATCGCCAGTAATCAAGAGATACCTTGCATCATGGCTGCAACTTCACGAGCTGCCAGATCCTTTTTGCTTCGAGCTTCAAGATCAACATTACCTGCATTGGCAGCTTCGAGCCGAGCGATTTGCGTAACCCCAGCCTTAACTCGCACAAATTTGAGCCCTGCCGGCTCGCTGTTGATGAGGCATCTGTCAACAATGAAGGCCCTCGTCTACGACGGTTCGAATTCAGTATCATTGAAGGATAAACCACTCCCCACCATCTCAAAACCAACCGATGTCATCGTCAAAGTTACTAAGACAACCATTTGCGGCACTGATCTCCACATTCGCAAGGGCGACGTAGCGACATGCCAGCCAGGCACCACATTGGGTCACGAAGGTGTAGGTATCATCCACTCAGCGGGAGCTTCGGTCACACGATTCAAGGAAGGAGACCGAGTCCTCAACTCATGCATCTCCAGCTGCGCGACGTGTGAGTATTGCCGCCGCGGCATGTACAGTCATTGCACGTCCGGCGGGTGGATCCTCGGAAATACCATCGACGGCACTCAAGCCGAGTACGTCCGCATTCCCCACGCTGAATCCAGTCTCCACCCGATCCCGGACGGCGCCGATGACTCCTCACTGGTGATGTTAAGCGACATCTTCCCGACAGGACTCGAGTGCGGTGTGCTGAACGGAAAGGTACAGCCGGGCGGTACTGTCGCTATTGTCGGCTCAGGTCCGATTGGTTTGGCGGCTATTATCACGGCTCAGATGTATTCCCCGTCTCAAATCATTGCCATCGACATGGATCCGAAGAGACTCGATGTCGCAAGGCAGTTTGGCGCAACCGAGACTATTGACAGCTCCAAGGCAGACGCTATAGCCAAGGTTAAGGAGTTGACTGAGGGCAAGGGCGCTGACTCGGTCATTGAAGCGGTGGGAATTCCCGCCACCTTTGATCTCTGCCAAAGCCTGCTCGCACCTGGTGGTGTCCTAGCGAACGTGGGAGTTCATGGAACCAAGGTTGACCTTCACCTCCAAAACCTTTGGGATAAGAACATTTGTGAGTTCAACATATCGAGGTTTATAAATAATTAAAGATGTCGACGCCAATTCTAACTCAACATGCAGCAATCACAACTAGACTTGTAGACACAACAACGACACCAATGCTTTTGAAGCTTGTACAGTCTGGAAAATTGCAGCCCTCGCAACTTATTACTCACCGTATGGATATCTACTACTTATTACCGTGAAACTTGCTATGAAAACATGACTAACAAGAGCTCCAGACTTCAAACTTGGTGACATGGAAAAGGCATATGGTACCTTCGGAGAAGCGTCTAAACATGGTGCTTTGAAGGTTGTGATTGACGTGGATTGAAATTTTTGAAATCATCCGTTTTGCTCAACTTTGATCCAGCTGCAAAGCCTACGTTTTGACAGATTGAGAGCCTGAAGAAAGATTTGGAGGTTTTAATGTTTGTGCCGGGCAGAGCTATTGCACATGATTCTTTGAAATATGGAGTGGAAAATCCTCCTCACGGACTCACGGACGGACGGGTGCTGGAGTTGTACCCTGGTTGAAGCAGCCGAGCCTGTAGAATATCAAATTTGACTGTCTGCACCGATGCTGTTTACTAGTGCGATTGTCAATCGAGAAAAGCTCTTGGTCATTCCCGAGTCGTTATCTCTTCATTCTTTGCAGAAGTCAACCATTGGTCATATATTTGTTGACTGCCACGCATTTTATTAAAACTTGCCGTAGACACTTCGTGTTGTTATCGTGATACTGGCATGGATGTTTGGCTTCGATGTTTCTTCTGTGCGCCAATGGCTTCGCATCTAGGCCGCATCAAGTGTCACACGCAATCCGAAGCTGGAATAGCCCATGCCGCGTCATAGGAAATCACATCATGCACGTTTTCCCATCCAACCGCAGCATACATGTACTTAGCAAAGATATTGCAGATATTAGTTTGCTGTTCATTGCGTTATCTCACCCTATCAACCCCGCGTAGTCTGCTAGATAGGCATGACCAAATTCGGAAATATGTTGGGCCAATTCTCTGGCATCCATCTTTATAACCTCATCCAGGGCATTGCGAGTGCACCAAAGGACCTGCATTATCTAAAGATGCGCGTCTTCCCGCGTCTCTGGGTTCATGTGGAGGCGTTTCCCCCACGTTCAGCATTCGGAAGAGAATCACCGCGGGGCCGGCTTGTGTCTTCACGTTGCATCGGACGCAGAAATCCTCGCGCGTGCACGGCCTCCTTGGGCAGTAAATCTCCAGAACCTAGATACCGCATTGATAAGACTGCTTGGAAAGGTGGCATTCCCAGCCTACTAATCTGCGCCTAACACATGCTTCGAGGGGTTGGCTTAGCAGTTCTGGACCATCTCCTACCCTCGTACGGTTTAGCGCCGGCATGGATGAGGCCTCAGAGTTTGGAAAAGGGCCCGATGGTCCATGCATCAGTTTAATGGTCTACCAGTCCGCCTCGTTGGCTTCGAGCCGGCAGGAAAGGAGGTAGTAGTAAAGAATTTTCAGTCGATGGAAGAAGAGCAGAATTTTGGTCGGCTGGTATATCATTGTCGAGGTACCGCTGGTGCTCTTGATGGTCTCCCGTATGGGCCGTGCCAGCAACCATCATGACAAACACGACCATCACGTTCGACTTTCCGGGCACGGTGCAGCTAGTCGACACACGAGGCGTCTTCGACGTGAAGCATGGCTCGGAGCACACCAATATCGTTCTTGTTCCGCAACCGAGCAGCGATCCGAACGATCCGCTATCATGGACGCGAAAGCGCAAGACATTCAACATCTCCTGGGTCATGACCTGGTGCTTCTTCGCCGCTGCCATCGTATCGGGCCTCTCTCCCGCGTACCTGCAGATCGAAGCAGACACCGGCATTTCTGTAGCAGACCTTAGCACTGGCAATGGCCTCATGTTCCTCTTTCTCGGTTGGGGCACTCTGCTCACCCAGAACTTCGCCCTCAACTACGGAAGGCGTCCGACTCTCGTTTATTCGATGGCCGCGATGACCTTTATCAGTCTCTGGACTGCCTACGTCAAGTCTCGAGCCGAGTTCTTTGTTAATCGCATCATCATCGGCATTGTCTCTTCGCCAATGGAGACTCTCATCGAAGTCATAATTGACGACCTGTATTTCGTCCACCAACGAGGCTTCTACATGGGTATCTACAGTTGGATGCTGTGGTGTGGTGCCTTCCTCTGCCCAGTCGCTACAGGATTCATCGCCGAAGACCTGGGTTGGCGTTGGATCCAGTACATCCTATCCACTATAGGTGGCGTAATAACCATTTTGACATTTGTCTTCTTCGAAGAAACCATGTTCTACAGGCCTAGTTCACAAGCCGATGTTGGTGGCATCCCCAATCAGCAGCCGGGTCTCTTTGATAGCGACAAGAGCGCAATCGACACCGAGAGGTCCGAAGACCAAAAGCCTCAGCCTGTGGAAGGCGCAGCCAGTATCAATTCTGAAATCGAGCCACGCACTTTACCGAACCGCGTCAATGTAGCACCCGAAAAAGCTTTTTGGTCAAAATTCAAGCTATGGGGTTATCAAGACGACAGAAAACCAAGACAGCTGAAGCAATCTCTGTTGCCTTTTTACCTCCTTCGATTTCCTTCCGTCATTTTCGCGGGCATTCTGGTTGGAGGTATTCTCTCGTGGTACAACGTAGTTGGCGGCTCTCTGGCTCTCATTCTCGGCAACCCACCATACAGCTTTGGCTCCAACGTTATCGGCCTCTTCTACCTTGCTTCGGTGATTGGAGTATCGATGGGATGTCTAATATCAAGCTGGGCGAGCGATGCTTTGTCAGTGTGGATGGCCCGCCGGCATGGGGGAGTAATGGAACCAGAGCATCGTCTTTGGTTATGCTTCCTGGCGATCATCGCCCATCCTGTTGGCTGCATTCTATACGGCGTGGGGGCTTCATACCAAATCCACTGGGTCGGTATTGCTTTCGGGCTGGCCTTGATCTCTGTCACTCTCCCTCTGGGAACCAGCATGGCGTTCACATATATCCTTGACAGCTTCAAGGACCTCGCTGGCGAGGGCTTCGTGTCAGCTATCCTTATTCGTAACACGATGGGTAAGTTGACGCCGTCATTCCTCTTAGCGTCAGAGTCAAAGCTAACCATATCCAGGCTTCGCTTTCAGCTATGCTGTAGTGCCGATGATCAATAGCATTGGTCTTCGCGATGCCTTCATAGTCACAGCGGTTCTTGGGGTGACATTCTGGGCACTGTGTCTGGTCATGATGTACTTAGGGAAACCGTTGCGACGCATGGCAGCGCCTCATTACTGGGACATGGTAGAAAAGCATAGCCTTTCAGGACACTGAGTCTTTACATAAAATTAACTACGTCTTACGGAGAGTTTAATGCAATAATTCTCGCTCTTTCCACACGTGCAAAGGAGGTCTTTTAACCACACTGCGTTCGTGTTATGAAAACCTACATGCAGTTACACCTAAGCTTAAGTTTCTTCCCTACATGTGCTGCCTGTCAGCGTCAAATAACGCGCAGATGAATCCTTGAAGGCCACGGAGTACACCTGAATTACCCGCGCACATTTCTGTCTTTCACAGTTCTACCCTACATCCGAGTATTCTGACAGTCACGGCGACAAAATATCAGAGATGATCTCCACTTTCTAGTGCTACTCAAGAAGTAAGCCAAGGACATAGTCTCGGTTCTCCCATTTGGCGAGACACGAATACGACTGCAAGCCCTTGCATTTCGGACAGTAGTTCAGCCGAGATGTGTGAGAGTGTCTAAGGTAGATAGGCAAGATTAATTCATTATCATGTTAAACCGATAATCTAGCCGTCCCCTCCATTTTGTGAGTAACATCCTCCCCAAAGGAGTAACAAGATGGACCAACTTGAGACTTACGTTGTATAACACCTCTCGAGCCAGCCCTCATTGCTGATTCACTTGGCTTGTCAATCAAGGAGTAAGACAGGTCATCTGAAAGCGGCAACCCGAGAGCATATCCTGCAATACTAGAGCGGTACGAGCTTGGCATTACTTCAACATACAGACCCCCGCTCCGAGCTTGAATCCCCGCACTAGCTGCATGCGAACTACTTGAGCCTCTTGGCTGCCCTCCTTGACTGCCTTTCATGTAGATAATTAGCTTAACTATGGTACTGGTGCCTCTCTGGCGAAGCTTTTGTACTAATACTGCTCTCAAATTCTTTCAAGCACACCAGGTCGAGCCCATCACAATCCTCTACAGTTCCAAACATGGCCTCTGCTCAATTTTTCAACTATCCAGGGACTGAGTCCAACACCGAGCAATATCACTACTCCCAAGCCGTAAAGATCGGAAACGTCGTTCGCACATCGGGTCAGGGCGGCTGGGACGAGAAAGGGAATATCACAACCGACCTCGAAAAGCAGATCGCTATTGCGTTCGAGAATGCTCTCAAAGCTCTTCAAGCCGTTCACCCGCGCCTCAACTTCAAAGACATTTACGCGATTCGCTCCTATCATCTTGATATGGACTCGAGTTTCGATGTCATGACTACGACGTTCAAGAAACTGTTTCCGAATCATAGACCTATCTGGACGTGCATCCAAATCGGCAAGCTTGGATTGGAAGGGATGCAGGTTGAAATCGAAGTCGAAGCGTTGATCCCCGTCTAAGGGACGTGAATGTTGGATGTGAGAGAAATTTTCCCAATCTCGTGGTTTAGACACGATTAACATCGGCGCGGTATCTTGGGCACTTTATGTACCATATCGGGTATCTGTCTTAAGAGCATCATCAGTCACCAAGTGCAACATCGTAAAGCCTTCCACCGTCAATCAATTCTTTTTTGACAAACTGAGTGAAATTCTGTAAAATCACCTAAGTCCCACAGTTTCAAGTACGTGCAACTATGTCACTGCGGACAGCCCTTGGACCACCTTGTCAACTCCACGAGACCATGGCTAGGCTGTAGAATACCGACAGTGTAAAAGTTAGTCAAAATTCACCTTAATGAGCCACCAATAATACATCGACTTATCATTGCGAGTTTACGACGATACCGCTAGTTTCCATACTTTTGGTAGAAGGTCCAAGCCAAGACGCAAGTTCATCCTGACACAAAGTCGCCTGCACATGCAGCAGTGGCGCAACCCGCAGCTAAGCTCACTGCTGGCAAAATTTTGATTGGCAGCACTGAAGTAAGTTTAAGAAACTTGAGCTTGGTTGCTCCAGTTGAAAAACCTTCTCAGGGTAGTGATGGACCGTCACGGCCAAAGTTGAGGCTTACGCGACCAACCTGCAACTTCAGCGCAACTACATGTAGTGGTGTGTTGCCTGTCTCGGATATCCAGTTCCGACTTGGGACTGGGCAAAATGTCTCATGCTTCGTATCCGCAACCTGGAATCATGTCAAGCAATAACCGAGTTGAGCTTCCACTTTCCCGGCCCTCTAGATCAAGCTATCCGACCACCCTGTGCTGCTGCACCTCAACAGCCCCGCGCCAATGGTCCAAAAAGTTGCCTAATTCGGACAGCTCCTGCGGGAAACCCCGCACCCCTCTCATTGGCGTTGGGATGGTTGAAATTGACGCTGCACAGCTTGGAGTAACTAAGGTGGGGAGAAGTATCCGACACAAGTAAACCTGGTGGGCTCATACGACCAGGAGACGGGATCTTGTCCATCTTTTGTCTGCTTCAGGATTTCTGAGCCGCCATGGTGGCTCCGTCTGATAGCTAGCCGCTGATGATCTGCAGAATTTCACAGATCCGCTTCCCCACTTGTCTGGGACACTTTGATGGCGGAGACACAATGATCCCATTTATTGCCTAGTCTGTCCGACATGCATTGACAGTTTGCGTGGATAAGAGGGCGGGCTGCCTCACATCTTCGACTTGAAGTAAGACGCCCTGCCCTGATTTGTTCAACTACGGCCGTTGTGTCTTGTTTTCTTTCCCCTTACCCACACACTTAGGAGTTCCCACCAAGATGTCAGCTGCTACCTTGGACCTCACAGCGCCGAATGGCACGAAGATTTCCCTGCCTACAGGGCTCTTCATTAACAATGAGTTTGTGAAGGCTAGCTCAGGATCCAAGATCACTGCCATCAACCCAAGGTACGATAAGAAGTTGAAGTTGCTTGTCGAATCCCATTAGACTGACGACATTATAGTGATGAATCTGAGATCGCTGCAGTTGAAGCCGCATCACCTGAAGATGTTGACAAGGCTGTAAAAGCAGCACGGGCAGCACTCAATGCCCCAGGCTGGGGTGACATCTCTGCTACGGATCGGGGCAGATTGATGTTCAAGCTCGCCGACCTCGTCGAGGCAAACCAAGAGACTTTGGCCACCCTTGAGACGTGGAACGGCGGTAAGCCGTATGGCGTGGCCCTCGGAGAAGACGTTGCGGAAACAATCTCAACGTTGCGCTACTATGCTGGCTGGGCAGACAAGATTCACGGCGAGACCATTCCAACGACACCTCAGAAGTTTGCGTATACAATTAAGCAGCCGATTGGAGTTTGTGGACAGATCATTCCGTGGAACTATCCAATCATGATGGCAGCATGGTTAGTGAAATCACATCTTCACAGGGAAAAGGCACGAACTAATTCAGCTTCTAGGAAGCTCGGTCCGGCACTGGCGTGTGGCAACACTGTGGTTCTGAAACCTGCTGAACAAACACCACTATCTGTTCTGTACTTTGCGACTCTGATCAAAGAAGCTGGATTTCCGCCAGGCGTTGTCAATATTGTCAACGGACTTGGCAGGGAGGCCGGCAACGCCCTGGTTTCTCATACTGATGTTGATAAAATTGCTTTCACTGGCTCCACAGCAACCGGAAGACAGATTATGAAGTCTGCGAGCGTCAACCTGAAAAACATTACGCTAGAGACCGGCGGAAAGTCACCTCTTGTGGTCTTCAGCGATGCCGATCTCGACCAAGCAGCAAAATGGGGCCATGTTGGCATCATGAGCAACCAAGGCCAGATCTGCACGTCCACATCCAGAATCCTGGTTCATGAAGATGTCTACCAGGACTATGTTGCACGGTTCAAGGCGATATGTCTTGAGAATAAGGTCGGCAATCCCTTCGACGACGACACATTTCAGGGCCCTCAGATCACGAAGGTCCAATATGAAAAGATTCTCGGCTACATTCAGGCCGGCAAGGATGAAGGTGCCAAGCTTGTGACTGGTGGAGTTCCATTCAAGAACGTCGGAGATGGCAAAGGATTCTTCATCGAGCCAACAGTCTTCTCCGACGTGAAGAAAGACATGAGAATCTTCCAAGAAGAGGTGTTCGGTCCTTTTGTCGCCATAACACCTTTTAAGACGGAGGAAGAGGCAGTTTCTTTGGCCAACAACACGTCATACGGACTCGGCGCTGCGTTGTTCTCACGCGATATCGAGCGGTGCCATCGCGTAGCCGCCCGCCTCGAATCTGGAATGGTCTGGATCAACAGTTCGAATGACTCTGACATTCGTGTTCCATTCGGTGGCGTCAAGCAAAGTGGCATTGGCCGCGAACTGGGAGAAGCTGGCCTCGCTGCTTACTCACAGACAAAGGCAGTGCACGTCAACATGGGATTCAAACTGTGAACTGGTCAAGTAGAGGAATCTTGAAAGTCCATAGCCACATGATCTATTGCCAGCCCCAAACTCTCTTGTCGAATTAGTTATAGCACGACGGCATCTGATGCCAAGTCGGAGTACATTTCTGACCAAGTTACGTCCTCTCGAGCGGCCTTCCATACACCGCACAAAACCTCGGAGACAGTATGTAAGCTAGCAAACCGCATCTCATCTCGAATAATATGAAGGATACCCAGAACTGCTTTTCTGTGTCTCGGGGACTGAACATGCGCACCAGCAACGAGCAAAGGGAAAATGACACAATTCAGCACCTTTGAGGGCTGTTTCATATCGATGATGCACTCTAGACACGGCAAAACGTGCTGCTGTACGAGAGAATGAGAGACTGGTAGACCGCAAATGGCCCTATACATGTAGATGAGAGCCGTATGCTGAAAGGCACGAATTAAAGTGAAATCGTTGTTTGCCTCTAAGTCTGGATCGGCATCTCCAGTATCTGAACATGTGTCTGTGATCCTGGCATACATCGGAGACAAGGCCGTCTCGAATTTGCGGATAGTCTCCATTGAGAGTTGCTCGGTGCCGTTGTTCAGAACATCTCGGTACTCTGTTAGCCGAGATATTTGCTGAAATACGGAGGCCAGAGATGAGCGTCCAAGGATGTCTCTTCCCCACCATACGGATCTCTTCTCAATTGTATCCCATATTTCGTGAGGGAACGAGGGTTTCCCTCCCTTGAGCATGATGGTTGTGAGATCCGTTGACGCAAATTCAGAGAGGAGCATGTGGATCGACTCATGACTCGTCTCCAGAACCGGAAGAGTGCCTCCGAGACTGTTGATGATTGCCTTGACGCCCCCGTGGTGACTTGACGTTGAGGCAGACGCCTGAGCGCATTCAAGGTATCCGTCGTGGAAATAGAGTAAGAGTACAGCAAGCAACAGGGTCATGAGAGAACTCTTATCGACCATGTGAGCGCCGCCGACCTCACCCCGTACGGCCGCGAGACACTCGAGTCGCTTCATGCGGAGGAGACTGCGGCTGTTCCTCCCGTCCTGGAGAACCCGGTGCGCATCCGCAATGACGCACGCCGCGAGAAGTACGACTCGATGCTCAAGGGCCTGTAAGATTGGAGCCGCGCATGGTTCCGGGGCCGTCGTCAAGAGCGGCCACAGGCGGTGATGGAAGTAATCCAGGGCGCGCCGTTCGTCTGAAGCTAGACAGGACGCGAGCTGCGCGTCTCTGGTGGCAATCTGGTAGATGGCCGGAGCCTTGATCGTGGGCCGCGTGCTCCATTTCAGGCGGCGAGCGTTGAAGTCGCAATCCGCCCCAATCTTGGCGCAACGATTGCACCGGGGCTTTGTCAGGTCGCACTTGATACGGCGCTTCTTGCAGGGCCAACAGGATCCCTCAACTACCCTGATTCTGTTTGTGGGCATCTTTGGGGCTCCAACGGTCAAGAGACGGCTAGCTGGATGCTTTATAAGGCAGCGTCAATGTCGAATTGGGTCCTAGTAGACTCTCGGCGACGTTCGCGATAGCAGATAGTGACGAGTGGGTGGAGATCCAAGCCTGATGTTGTGGTTTGCCATCAGCAGGGTTCGGATTCCCGTCTGGTATCAAGGCCCCCTCCTCCCAAGTGCTCGAGAAGGGTTCGGTAGATGGGGAAGCTGTGCGGGGGAAAAGGGGGATGAGCACAGATGGGACCCGGGCTGAATTGACTCGGCGAAGCTCCAAAGTTTGCGAAATTTGGTCCATCTAGTTTCCTCAAGAGGTTTAGCGGCAGTCGAAATGACCCGGTCTGCTGTTTTGTGTGACAGCTGTAACTGTTATCCGGGATCAAACCTTGTTTTGCAGATCAAAGAACGCGTCGGAAGCTCATCCGGTGGGCGGTCATAATCCGCCTTGAACCCAATGGCCGCAAAATTTTGAGGAGAAATCAACCGACTCCAATAGAGAGTGAGCTCTTCACGACAAGTCAACAATGGACCCAGCAACGAACGAGACATGGGCCGAAGTCCAGATGACGCCTAATCCTTTAACGACTATGAGCACCGCCGTTGCGCTGGTAGCTTGCTCGATCATAGCTCTCATTTTGAGCATCCGGCTAGCCCGGTCAACGCAACCAGCGAGCGAGCCCCTAGAAGTCACACAAGTACAATTTGACCTCCTATGCAAAATAGTCAATGTGAATGATTCTGATTGAAATTTCCATAGCTATACATTTATCCTATCAAAGGGCTCGGAGGATGCGCGGTGCAGCGAGCACATTTGGGCAAGTATGGCTTGGTCGGAGATAGGACTTTTTCCCTGCAAAAGGTCATTCGGGATAAGACCGACCCGTCCAAGAAGACATATGAGACAATGTTCATCGGCTACTATCTCTATATGGCACTATTCCGGGCTTCGATCGAGCATGATGGAAGGCAAGAAAACGCGACCGAAGGGGAAGTCATAGTAAAATGGCATGGCCGGGGAACGGAGCACGGTAAATCAATCAACGAAGCGAACATCACCACCACCGACGAAATACGATTCGCCCTATCACCAAGCACAGAGGGGCTAGAAGTGATCAACACAAGCCTTCACGTGAGCCAGGCCAAGGCCTACGACATGGGCGACGAACTTGCGACGTGGTTCTCAGAGCGCCTCGGGGTTGAGGCGAGACTCGCCTACATTGGTAACGGCTCACGGCCTGTCCTGGGGTCTTTAGCACCAAACAGCAAAGGAGGCCTGAGAAAGGCCAGATTTGCTCAGCGTCTCAGGTCCTTCGTCCCGTTTGCCCGGTTTCCCGAGGAGCGTCTTGTCTTCAACGATCTTGCACACTACCTCGTCGTCACTGAAGAGTCCACTGCGGAGGTCTCTTCTCGCCTAGAAGGCAACTTGACGATGGATGTTCGAAAGTTCCGTCCGAATGTCGTCGTCAAAGGCGCAAGCGGTCCCTTTGCAGAGGACTTCTGGGGCGAGTTGACTTTCGACGGCGGTGTCCAGATGCCTCTGACGGCCAACTGTTATCGCTGTCAAAGCATTACCGTTGACTACGAAACTGGCAAGACTGCTAGTGACGATCGTGGATTGGTGTGGAAGAAGCTGAATAAAGATCGCCGAGTTGACAAGGGCGCCAAATATAGCCCTGTCTTTGGACGCTACGGGTACTGCTTTGGGTCAGCTGTTGGCGAGACACTAAGCGTAGGACAGAAAGCACGAGTCTCCCACGTCAATCCAGACAGAACGACTTTCGGTAAGCTTTTTTTTCCACTTCACCTGTAGTGGCCGAGTACTTTGCTGATGGAACTTTTTAGATTGGCCGCATCTTACGACGTTCGGCGTCAGCCAGAAGAAAACCTAGATCGAGGATACATGCATGGGAGGTTCCTGGAACAGGACAGCTTCTACCGGGTTAGAAGATCATTATAGAAACCAGCATAGAATAAAAAAGCGACCGAAGTCCTACCTCCGACGAAAGGAAAACACTTTGGTTTCCAGGGACGGCCTAATTATCAAGTCGCTGGGCCCATCGGAGAGTTGAGTTGATTCTATACACCACAGGGGTGCAAAAGTCTCCGAAAGCTAGAATGGTAATCAAGAGCAGCTTTTCGCCCGGATCGGAGCCCTCCCGCCTCCTGGAGGAAAATGGGCCTAAAATATTATGTATAACGTTGAATCGTGATCGAGACTCGGGTCGGTGGCATGGGGGAGCTGACTGCCCGCTCCGCGAAGGTGTGCCGGCGCTAACCTCCGTAAACTCCGTGTCCCACCCAGTTCGTCTGAGTCTTGGACCGGCCGGCTCAGCAACTGACATAATCCACCATGGTCAAGCTCGAGAAGAACCGGAGTGCTGGACGAGTCGCCAACTAAATCACGGGCCGAATGACATGTCACGAATATTACCTAGGTGGAGATTAAACACACCCCCGGTGGTCAATGCCGAGACGAAGATCTCAAAGCTCTTCAAAAGACTCCAGGATCCAGGCTGACAAGGGCTATTGCGTATGTTTCCAATGTATGCAACGTCATCCATCCGCTGTACCGCTGTGTAGTGTTCATCGAATCATCAGCGACCTTGGGTAGAACAAGCTGCACTGCAACTTTCTGATAGATGAACTAGGACTAGTCAAGTCCGCATGAATTCCGCAAGCAACTCCACTAACAGCGACGAAAGCAGCCAACGCTCGAGATCTCGTTTTACACACAAGTGAACAAAGGCGTAGATGACCTATGCCTGACTGCATAGCAAGAATAGAAAGTGGAGAGATCTGGGCCAAAGGTGTAAAAGATACTTATACGGAGATGTGTAGATCAGTGTTGCGCAAAACTCGTCCGATTATGGGAAATGATAGAACGGATGAAAGCATCCCTTCCCAATCAAGTGTAAAGTACAGCGCCGTTATACCGTCAATGCCTAGACAATACATTTGCTGACTTCGTACCAACTATTCATCCATGTCATTGTATTTACGCCTTCGAGTCGGAACACTGCTCTTAGCCATACCAATAAATGAGATATACCCTGGCGATCAACGTTGCGCTTGCGGACTTGGCGGTCGGTCCACAAATCGGACGTTTGAGATACCCCGGATCCATACTTTGCGGTCCGCCATGCTCGAACAAAGATGACAAACCTACTTGTGCTTGGGTGATATCACCGTCTGAAATTTCAAACGCTCGTACTCGCGAATGTTCCTTGAGCGTACTATTTATGAGGACTGTCGGACCCTACAGTCTGGATGTAGTAAACCTAACGATCTCTTCCAACATCACTTACGTTCTACTCAAGTTATTCATCAACGATCGAACTCATCAAATCAGAACACATCACCAACAAGTAAAAAATGTCTAGCACGACCTCTTCAGCTGAGCCGTGGTCCTTGAAGGGCAAGACTGCCATCGTCACCGGAGGCTCCCGAGGTATCGGTAGCGGAATTGCCGTACACTTTGCCCGCAAGGGCTTGGAAAACCTCGCCATCACGTATGTGGCAAACAAGGCCGCTGCCGATAGTACTCTCGCGCAATGTCGAGAACTGGGTGTCATGAATGCCGTGGCCATCAAAGCGGACTCAACAGATCCCACAATCGCCCCAAAGATCATCAAGGACGCCTTGAACGGACTGAAGGTTACGACTATTGATATTCTGGTCAACAATGCGATTCTCGCCGACATCACCAACACCTCGGACGTCAAGACGCTCCAGGCCAAGGACTTCAACGACATCATGGTCGCAAACGTCTACACTCCCGTCAGCCTGACGACTGCTTTCATGGAGCACGCCCCCAAGTATGGTGGTCGCGTCATCAATATCTCCAGTATTGCCGGCAGAGTGGGCAACCCGAGCCCGATCATGACATACGGAGCCACGAAAGCCGCGCTCGACAGCTTCACGAGGTCTTTTGCAGACACTTTTGCCGCAGAGAAGGGAATCACTTTCAACAGCGTCGCAGTTGGGCCCACGGAGACTGATGCGCTCGCTAAGGCGAGGGAACTGCATGCGGAGTTCATTGACAAGCAGATCGAGTATATGACTGTGGGTCCACGTCTTGGGAACACTGACGATATCGCCTATATTGTGGGGTTCCTTGCGAGTGAGGAGGGACGTTGGGTCAACGGAGCAGCTGTTAGCGCAAACGGTGGGCATCGCCAAACTCTTGCGCATTTTGGCTGATTTTACGGCGCAATTTGTCGGATCACCTGTATAGACGTTTCCGATAGAGAGTGTGGATGAACCACATTACATGTACTGATTTTACTTACGAATGATACTCGCTTGACATCCACGCCTACTTCCTTACCCCATGATACTCTCACCAGAAGCCTTTGTTCTCTGTCAGTATATCATCATTCTGACACAGAAAGTCAAAAAAAAGTCGCATTTCAATCATTGGAGGGGTCGCCGCGACCGGTGATCTGACGGCAACAGCCATTCACAAATAAAGGTATGAGAAGAAGCCACAAAGCCGTTCAAATTATAAGTTATGTCTTCAAGCCCAGCTCTTCGAACATTGTGTACTGAATTTATGGGAGAGACTGAGTTCTCACACTATTACCTTAGTAGTCAATCACATGCAATTGGAAGTCTAACCTTCATACCCCGTCAGCGCTGTTCCCACTCGAAAATGTACTTAGCATATTTTAGCTCACTCCACATTCGCATTGTGCATCGCACCAAATACGGCGACTTCCGGGCTGCTCCCGCTCCCGACATCCGAAACGGCAGCCCGGGTATCCGAGTATGGTAGTTCTCCGTATACCTCTTAGTCCTCGTCTGGAGGGCTCGCTTCATTTTTCGATTTCGATAGTTTCTTTATTCGGCTCTTCTTTAGATCGTATGCCACCTTAATTATTGGCAGTTGATTTTGGTTTTGAACATGGTGTCCCAAGACCACGAGTCAACTTCATCCAACATGCAACCTCCTCCAAGAAAGCTTGTCAATGTTGATCAGATCATCGAAAATGCCACACTCGCAGAGAAGGTCTCGCTCCTTGCCGGTGAGGATCCTCAATAAGGAAGCACAGCCAGTCAAGTCCCTAGTACTAACAGCTCATGGGTAAAGGCTCCGACTTTTGGCACTCCACCCCTCTTCCGCAGCACAACGTCCCGGCCATCAAATGCACCGATGGACCCAATGGCGTCAGAGGCTCACGATTCTTCAACCCAGTGCCCGCGCTTTGCATCCCTTGTGGAAGTGGTCTAGGAGCAACGTGGAACCCTGAGTTGATCGAGCAGGCCGGCCAGCTGCTTTCCAAAGAATGCGACGCTAAAGGTGCCCATGTCTGGCTCGGCCCAACGGTCAATATCATTCGCTCTCCGCTAAACGGTCGTGGGTTCGAGTCTTTCTCCGAGGATCCGCACCTGAGTGGGATGCTTGCAGCTGCCATCATCAGGGGTGTCCAATCCCGAGGGACTCTGGCAGCTCTGAAGCACTTTGTGGCTAATGATCAAGAGACCGAAAAGATGTCCCTCGACGTGCGCATGTCTGACAGAGCACTACGAGAAGTCTATCTCTTACCTTTCCAAATCGCTCTGAGAGATAGCAACCCCAGAGTAGTGATGTCTTCTTACAACAAAATTGACGGCCTACATGTTTCTGAGAACCCTATGATTCTCCGAGATATTTTGCGGAAAGAGTGGGGGTTTGATGGTCTCATTATGAGTGACTGGTAATCCTCGTCCCTTTTCTTTTCACAGTGTATCGGCTAATACGTGCAGGTACGGCACGTACTCTTGTGAGGCAGCGCTCAACGCTGGCGTTGACATCGAAATGCCCGGCCCTAGTCGTTACAGAGAAAAAGAAGCCCTCGCCGCAGTCTTCTCCGGCAAAGTTCACCAACACACCATAGACGAGCGAGCGCGAAAGGTCCTGCAGTTCGTAAATGACGCGGCTTCAGCTCGTGTTGAGAAGGAAGAGAACATGCGGGATGTTCCTGAAGACAGGTCCCTCAACCGCCGTTTGGCAGGCGAGAGTATTGTGTTGCTGAAAAACTCTGCCAATCTCTTGCCATTATCACCCGAAGACTGCGATGAAGTGGCCATCATAGGGCCAAATGCTGAGCTCGCAGCTGCTTGTGGAGGCGGCAGCGCAAGTCTTCGACCATACTACACCAGTTCCGTGCTCAAAGGCATACGGGACTCTCTACCTCCTACAGCTAGAGTACATCATGAGCCGGGTGTATACGGACATATCTTATTGCCACCTTTCACAGAGGACAGTGTGTGCAATGATGAAGGACGGCGAGGTGTGACGATTGAATTGTTCAACGAACCACATACCACCAAGCAGCGGACAGCATTTGATCGTGTAACGATACCGGACACCACCTATCAACTCATGGACTACGAGCATCCCCAAAAGGAGGAAACGTTTTTCATGTCCATGCGTGCCAGTTTCGTTCCAGAACACACTGGCACGTACGAATTCGGCTTGGCGACTTACGGCATTGGTGACCTATTCATCAATGATGAGCTCGTCATTGACAACTCAACAGATCAGACGCCGGGAGGCATGTTCTTCGGCAAGGGCTCAGCCGAAAAGCGAGCAACGTATGAGATGACAGCTGGGAAGGGGTACCACCTACGCGTTGAGGCCGGCAGTGCGATCACATCGAAGGTGAAGGGCGGCTCACTGTTAGCGATCCCGGGCGGTGCTTGCCGGTTGGGTGGTTGCCGTAAGATTGCTCCTGAGGAGGGCATCCAGAGAGCCGTCGAACTGGCAAAGAGATGCAAGTACACTTTTGTGGTTGCCGGACTAAACGTAAGAAATCCTCTATAACTGTTACGTCCCAGAAAGCTGACAATAATTCCTCTAGGCGGACTTGGAAAAAGAGGGCAAAGACAGAGACACGATGAACATGCCGCCACAAGTAGATAACCTCATCGCAGCTGTTCTAGAGGCGCAACCGAACACCATCGTGATCACTCAAGCCGGAAATCCAATCAGCCTGCCTTGGAGGCATAGCGCCAGCACGATGGTTCACAGCTGGTACGGCGGCAATGAGGCGGGCAACGCCGTAGCGGACGTTATCTTTGGACGCATCAACCCCAGCGGCAAACTGCCTATGACCTTCCCTGCTCAGCTAGAAGACAATCCTGCGTACCTTGCATTCGGCAGCGACAATGGAAAGGTCTACTACTCTGAAGACATCTTTGTTGGGTACCGCTGGTACGAAGCGAGAAAGATGGAGGTCGCATTCCCGTTTGGGTAAGTTGACTCGCTTGTATTAGATCGGAAGCCTGCAAGCTGACATTCTCCCAGCCATGGTCTGAGTTACACTACCTTCCAAGTCTCGGAGATGCAGGTTTCGTCTTCCAGAGTTCACATCAGCATAGCAAATACCGGGCGGATGGCAGGCGCAGAAGTTGTCCGCCTGTACATCAGCTACTCGACTACGTCGCCCAAGTCAAGATTTTCGCGTCCCGTCCGCTCACTTATGGGATTCGAGAAAGTCTTCTTGCAGCCAGGAGAGAAAAGAAGAGTCTCAATTCCCATCGATAGATATAGCACCGCTGTCTGGGATGAGAAGAGGAACAGTTGGTGTTGTGAAAGAGGCCGATATACTGCTTCAATTGTTGCCGGAGGTACAATTCTGGATGGCTCCTTTGAGCTTGAGAGGGACATGTTCTGGAATGGACTGTGAGGAAGTATGCCCCGTGGTCTGGTGTGATCGGTCTTATCCGGATGTACAGATACCTGGTATCCGCTGCTCTATCTAGACTTCAGACATAATCCATGCATGACTCCAGCAAGTAGCTAAGGACGTGGTGCACTTAGTGATTACTACATAAAGCTCACTGTTGAGGTCGCTGAACATGACGGCAAGATACGATAGGGACGAAGGCATTGTGCATTCGTGATTTGAGATCTGAGATCGGTGCTACCAAGGATCAAAAGCAACCAGAATCAGCCATATTCCAGTCGTTTTGGAGCGGCATGAAGGTATCCAGGAACAAGTCTGGTTGGCATTCCCCGTAATTCGGCTCAAAACCCAGAGTCATTGATACATCATACGGCGCCGCACTTGTACCAAAGCCAGCTTCTGAAAAGCCAAAAGCGTTGGCCGTCATATCTTGAGGCATCGGCATGTGTGGCTGCGGGCCATTCTCCTTTGACATATCGGTCATCAGGAACTGCTGAGGTGTGACACCATCTGCGCCCGTCCCTAATGCTGGCGCGTCTGACCGGTACTCTTCCCTGTCCTCTTCGCCGTCTTGTTGGAACTTGAGTTTCCGAATCTCGTCTGTCACGCTGTATTTCGAATAGACCTCAATTACCGAGCCTTGCGTACCTCTCTGTACACCAGGTTGTTGAGCGCCGGTCGCCTCGGTGTCTGATCCTGGCTGCTCGGCCTCCCAATTGGACCTGAGAGGGCTAGAGTCCCCAGAGTCGCGCTCCGCATCGTGTATGAGGTCCGCTATCCCACCTCGTAAAAGCTTGGTAGTAGGGTATATCTCAGCTGGCGTCTCTAGTATATCTGAGCAGGCCTTCAGCTTGGATATCAAGATATCCTTGGGCAAGTTGGCGAACTGGCTTGATCCAAGTCGCGATATGACACGGGCAGAATGGAAAGTACACATCACCAAGGCTGGATCTGTGATGAATATGTCATTCCCCATGTCGTTTACTGTCGCCATAATATTCGCAACAGCAAGCGCATGTTGGAGACACTTGTCTCTACAGAAGGAGACCAAATCTTGAGGTAGAGTTTGTAGCTCTTCCACAGGGAGGCCTTCCCGAAAGCCCGGTATTGTAAACCTGTACATATCGCATTGGCACTGATGCCACCATGTATGGAACATGACGAAAGGGGTGCGCTGTGGGGTGTAGACTCGGAGAAAGAGGTTCTTTTTGTCAAATGCGAATTGCGGCGGTAGTGATCGACGCAGCGCGTCGAGTTCGTCCACAAGTCCTTTGAGGAGTGAAACACATTCAACCAAGGGCTTCCGATGATGTGTGATCGTATGCGATAGTCTAGATAGACTGGTTAGCCTGGGGCTCTGGTATATCTATAAGGTAGCAAGAACGTCTTGATACTGTACCTTTGTATCCGATCTCGAATGTCGAGGACTCGGATATTGTAAGCCATCAGACCTAGCTCCAAAGAGCATTGATTTTCTGGAGGCTTCAGGGGCTCTGTCATTACAGGAATATCTAGAGTAAAAGATCGCTCGTGGCAGGGGAGTTGGAGATGTATTGTTTCCTTTGGACACCCGGTGAATTCTGTTCTGCCGCTAGAGTAAAGCGTCTCCATGGTATAGATCCCCCACATGAGACGCCGGCGACGCTCTTGGGTAAGGAAGCTCAGGCGGCCATCCTCGTAGTTGAGTCGCATCATAAATGCTAGTCTTGCTGCAAGGCAAGCAGATACTAGCATTTTACTGAATCGACGAGCGATGATGTGGTCCAGTGTGGTGAGCATGAGTGCCTCAATATCCGACATGGAAGGCTCACTGAGCCGCATAAGGAGCTGCACCTCCGACTCTTGGATCCATCTAGTCGCTTGCTGGAGACGGATACTGTCCCCCGATGCGATATAGCGCGCTGTAAGACCACACATTGCCTTCAGGAGGCGTGGGTTGTATGTGTCCTGTGCCCAACTTTGACAGAAGGTTGCCTTATGGATGAAGCCATAGCAGGGTATTGGATAGACAAAGTCGAAGAAAGCATCGATGTGCTGCTTGATGATCGTCTTGTTCGAGTTCAACTCACTACATAACAGAATATTATTCAGTAAACTTCAGCGCACAGGTAGTTGCTAGTCTTGCAAGAGACTCAACTTACAGCCCAAGTGACGAGGCCGGTAAGTGCGCAACGGAGGAATCTCGATTCATAGACGAAGTTCTATTTTCCATGCTGTTTTCCGAACCACCACGCACTGTAGCGGGCGGTTGGTGTCGGAGATCCGAGTTTGGATTTCTGGATGATGAAGACTTAGACACGTCTGGATACTGGCAGTCCACGCCCCGATGAGAGCATCGCCGACATGAGGGATGCGTGCCGCAGCACTTTGTCTTCTTGTCACGACATTGTATGCAAGCAGTACGCACGCGACGCTTCTCCAGCCTCAGATGGCTTGGATCACTGCTGCTGGGAGTGGAAGAATTTGCAGCATCCGGCAACTGATCAGGTGCTGCAAAGGAGCAGTGGAACTTGAGCCGACGACAGTTTTCGCATCCTCCAGGTTCGCCGTCACATCGGACCTATCGGCTACGGGTTAGGAGACCCTCTTCCCGAAGGACCGCGGCAGTGAGACTTCGGGTGCAACTTGACCGCGACTTACCTTGCGGTTCCGGCACTGGAAACATATCTGCAACCCTTTTCGGGGCCGACCCGAAGCGCGATATGGATTAGGCGTCTCCATGTTTGAGTCTTACCCGCAGTATTTTCTGATCAAAAGAGTGAAGATGCATAAGGTCGGGGGACGGGGTGGGAAGTCGGGGGAAGAAGAGATGACATGTCTTCCGCCCGAGTTCCGCGTTGATTTTGACTTTCTCGCCTCCGCCCGAGTTCCGGGCCCCGGGGGCCACCCTAGTCGAACGCCAAAATCCCAAGCGGGTGGTCACCGGATTCCTCACCCGCAAAAGATTTTCGTTCTGGACTCTCTGCTGGTACGCTGGATCGCTCCGTCGCAGCGTGGCTTTCTCCATTCCTCCACTCACCTCCAGGAATTCATCCCTAGCGCCGTGAATGGCTTGCTTCCCCAGTGGGTTCCCCAAGTTGGGGAAACCTCCTCCGCCATGTGTTGGTTCGTCTTGTGCGTCTGATCGGACGACTCTATTGCCAGTGAAAGGGGTGACTAGCTCAGATCAACGGGGAGTCCTGGCTCCACTCGACAGGGAACGACGTAGTAACGTAATAACCACGAGGCGTAGAGTTTGATTCTTTCAACGCGTCTGAATACATAAAGAGCGGGCAGAGAATGCATCGCCGAATTTATCCCAAGCACCCGGTCACTTGAGGCAAGGAGCTGAGGCTATTCGAACAGTCGCATAGAGAACTCTAAAGTCACCCTTCCGTGATGGCGCCCAATCGAATCCTTAAACACTTCAATGGCACCCTAGCTGCGGCCTTTACGGTAATCGCCGTCTCGACCTTCAACTATGGCTTCGACAATGCCGGCTACTCAACAACCCAGGCGATGGACGCGTTCCAGCGCCAGTTCGGCGACCAGAACCCCACGACTGGAAAGTGGAAGCTTCCCACCGGGTGGCTCGCCCTCTTCAACAGTCTCAACTACATCGGCTTCGCGGCCGGCGTCATCATCGGTAGTCTCGTCAGTGCTCGCTGGGGTCGCCGGTGGTGCATGTTTGGAATGAGTGCGTGGGCTGTAATCCCTGCAACAATCGCGATTACTTCAAGCACCCGAGAGCAGATCATGGCCGCCCGCATTCTCAACTGTAAGTCTGATCTGGCACTGTTTTCCAGCTACCAACGCTGACTTGAACAAAAAGACATCTACGTTGGCATGGAACTCGCTGTGGTTCCGGTGTATCAGTCTGAGATTGTTCCTTCAGAGATTCGTGGATTTGCAGTCGGCTCTTACCAATTTAGTCTGATGGTAAGCTTTCTATATCTGGTCAACGTATCAAGGAAACAGGCTGGATCAACTAACATACTGCTGTATAGTTTGGTACTCTGATTGTCAACTCTATCTGCCGAGGGACTAGCACCCTTGACGGCAATGCATCTTGGCGGATCCCAATGGGCTTGTTCTACGTTATTCCTGTCATAGTCATGGGCCTGATCTTCTTCATCCCCGAGGTAAGCTTGTTCCGACCACAACTCTCCCATGCGACACACTTCACTTGCTAACTTCCGTTCAAGTCACCTCGCTGGCTGTTGACCCAGGACAGAGTCGAAGAAGCCCAAATTTCTTTAAGGAAACTCCGAGCCGGTACCATCCCCGACTCCGAGATCGATGAACAGTTCGCCGCCCTCCAGTACGCATTGAAACAGGAAGTCGAACAAGGGAACTATATGGAGCTCTTCAAGGGTGTCAACTTGAAGAGAACCGGTATCGTGATGGCCATGAATTTCTTCCAGCAAGCTACCGGGCAGGCTTTTGCTTCTACCTACGGTGCAATCTTCATCAAGGACATCGGCACGGTTAACCCCTTTACCATGACTATCATTAACGCCGTCGTGAACCTTTGCATGGTCTTCGTCGGACTGTATCTGAATGATCGCGTAGGACGTCGGTATGTAAATTTCAACTGCAGATCGCATCTGTCGTACCTTCTCGGCCATGTATGTACTAACCTCACAACCCAATAGACCTCTTCTCTTGATCGGCGCAGTCTGGCAATTTGCCGCCATTGTGACCATGGGCTCCCTGGGTACAGTGGCCGACCCATCATTCGCCGTCAAGACGAGCATCGTGGCTATGCTGACAATCTTTGCCGCCGGCTACGTCTTTGCATGGGCGCCTCTCAACTACGTTGTCACCACCGAGATTCCGGCCCTCCGGCTGCGTGACGCCTCCCAACGAACGGCGTCAATGGTCAACGTCTTGGCCAACTTCCTCGTCAACTTTAGCATCCCGTACCTTCTCTACACTCCAGGCGCAGGGTTAGGTTCGAAAGTCGGTTTCATCTTTGCGGGAATCCTGGTGTTGGCGCTTGTCTTTACGTGGTTCTGCATCCCCGAATGCAAGGGCAAGTCTCTCGAACAGATCGACCGGATGTTCAACGAAGGGGTCCCGCTGCGCAAATTCGGCAAGTACAAGGCGGAGGACATGTTTCAGGCTTCGCCCGAGGACGGTGAAAAGGCCGGGGTCGTTGTGACCGCAAGGCACACGGAGAAGGCGTAACGCGGAAGGCCTATGGTGTTATACACAACGGTCACTAGATAGTATCAGTTCATAGATCGAGAGCGAAACTCAGGGGTCAACATATGGCACGTTGCAAAATCTCAATGTTTCCCAAAGTTGTGCTGTGCCGGCCCCTTCATCAACCGATGAGAGGCTCAGCTCCTGTGTAGGGAGTACTCTCCGTTACTATTCGAGAACTGCGTCTGGTCAGCATCCTAATTTGGTAGCAGAATGTGGTTGAACATGGCCACAGAACGGCTAGGTTGTTTCATTGTGTGGCCTCATTAACCTCTTTGAGATACGTTTCGACTTTTCTATCCTCGAGGATTACCAGCGGAGTTCACCCCAGAGTCCTGTTGGTTCGGTCCACGCGGAGTGACCTGCCCGTTGCGGTCCAGCCCGAGGCGGCCCGGCACGGCGGTAAGAACTCATTTCTATTGACTGCATTCAAAACGTGGTTACATCGGCATGGCCGATGCCAGGATCGCGCTCAGCTCGTTTCGAAACCACTATCCTGGGTCTGTTGGTTGGGGTAGATAAGCATATGGTACTAAGTTAATGAACTAGATTCGTTCGTTCCTGGCTCCTCAAAGACCCCTGATCCAACCTGCTACCAACAACATGATGCCAGTGTACTTCAAACAACCCCTGCATTCAGAATCGGCCGCTACATCTCAATCTAGTTGATGATCCAATCAACGTCCACTTCGATTGCTCAACATTGCCTCACAATGCCAAGATCACAGCCTTCACGCCAGGCACCTGCGATGAATCTGCCTCGTCGGGTCATATCCATTGGCGCAAAATACCAGGTTTTGGCGATAGAATTTTATCCCTGGGCCTACTAATAGTGGCAATCAGAGGGGAATGGGCGTTGAGTCTCTCTTCCTCTTCGTAAGTATAAAGGCCTCTCGATAACTCATCTTGAGTTTTACTCTCACTGTGTTTTGTGTTGATGAATTCGCGCAGCAAGTCTTCCCAGCACATCGACATCGTCATATCTCTCCTCATCTTTCATTCTCATCAACCCGCAATATTATCACTCCCTTTAACTTTACAATAACCCTATTTGGTCGAGCATGGCTCAACCAACAACCCTCTCAATCCCGTCTGGCTTGTTCGAGTTCGAACGCAAGTCGCCAGGTTTGCCCGTATCTCCAGTCGGGACCTACCCCGAGTCGCAGGATGCCGAGTCGCAGGTCGACTATGCCGCCGGCTCTGGAGCCGGCTCTCCATGCTATGACAAAGGTCACTGTCAAGACAAAGCTGATGTAATTCCCGAGAATCCATTTGACAGTGAGAGCAGCAGGGTCCTGTTCGATGCCATTGACAAGCTTCAATCCTGTGGAGTCAGCCAAGAGCTAGCAATTCCTCAGGTAAGATCAGCCTATCCCCTTGCACCTGACCAAACTTCACAAGCTGATCCGTATCTCAGCTCGTTATTGTCGGTGGTCAGTCCACAGGGAAGTCGTCCTTACTTCAAAGTTTGACCGATATTCCCTTTCCAGTCGGTTCTGGATGCTGCACTCGCTTCGCGACAAGAATCGTGTCTCGGAGAACCGCGCCTGGAAGTCGTAGCTCCGTCAAGGTGACAATCGTGGAGCCTGATGTTACCGACAAGTTTGGCTATCCACCGGATGATACGTACAAGGACTTCCCACCTTATGTAACCAATCATCTAGGCATCGAAGAGTTCACGCAACTCATGGAAACAGTAAGCCCTGACCCATCTTTTTTGTCAGAGAATCATTTCTTACAAATGCTGTAGATTACCACCAAGTACATGGGAATCAAGCGAGGCAAAGGACATGAGACCAAGAACTTTGCTTCTCAAGTTCTTCGGATTGAACTATCAGGCCCTTCCCGATCACACTTCAGCATTCTTGACGTACCTGGCATCTTCTCTTACGCCCATGATGTCAATGAGGAGGAGGAGCATGGTGTAAGACAAATGGTCGAGGAGTACATGAGACAACCAGCGAACATTGTCATGTCAGTTGAGCCCGGTTCCTAGTTTGGCCATTCCCAAAGCTGATGACCAGCAGATGCGTGGCCGCCGCCACGGCTGATTTGTCTACTCAAGAAATCTTCAAGATGGCCGCCAATTTCGTCGACAAACATCGTCTTGTTGGAGTTTTCACCAAGTGCGACAGGCTGGAGAATCCAAACGAGGTGAGCTGAAGCTGAAAATTTGTATTGCTGAAAATTCGCTAAACTTCACAAGGTTATTGACATTGCCAGCGGATATGGCAAAGACTTTACAAGATCTATGAAGGACGGCTGGTTTGTAGTGAGAAATCGATCCGACGCCGACGATGAAGAGCTTGATTTCAAAGAAGCTGAACGCAAACTCTTCAGTCACTCGCCTTGGGACAGGATCCCAGAGAATCGACGAGGCTCTGTACAGCTTCAGAAATATCTCGGCAACCTTCTCTGCGCTCAAATTCGAGGAAACTTTCCCGCGATTCAAGAGTCAGTCAGGAAGTTGCTATCTGATGCCAAAGACAGCAGGAAGGGCCTAGGAGAACCCCGCCCAAGTCATAGTCTCCGTCAGCAATACATCAGGGATGTGGTCGAGAAGTACCACACAGTGGCGACAAAGACTCTCAAAAGTCCCGGATCGTTGGCCAAAGACAGTCTACGGGTCAGGGGATTAGTTCGTCGCGCAAACGAAAGCTTCACCGCTCAAATGCTTGCACGCGGGCATACGCACACCTTTGAAGACCATGGAGTTGACCCCATGGCTCAGCTCTCCGACACGATCACCTTATTGTCAAATCCGCAACCAGCCACAGTCCCGACACCAACCGGGCACGAGCAAGTGACTACACCACCAACAACACCGCCCAAGAAGCGACATGCTCCGCCGCCTCAACAACCTACCAAAAATCAGTCTGTTCACGCCGCGTCCTTCGTGGACGAAATCCGTGAACAGCTTCACATTTGGCAGACAACAGAGCTCCCCGGGATGGTGAACACAGAGGTCATCCAGATTCTCTACAGAGCACAATCAGAGAAGTGGCAACAGATTGCAGAACAGCACATTGAGAATATAGCCGATGATGTAGAGAGGGCCTCAAATTCGATTCTCGAAGATGTTTGTTCGCCCAACAGTTGCTCGAAAATTCTGTATGAGGAGCTAGCTCGAGCCCTCACCCACTTTCAGCAAGAAGCCAAGGAAAAAGCCCTTCGAGAGCTCAGAGAGCACTGCCGACGCGAGAGAGAAGCGCACCTCCAGACGACAGACGCAAGGTTTCACGAAAGGCTGCAGGCTCTACGGACTGTTCGACTTCTCAAAGCGATTGGCGCTAGCTTTTCTTCATTTAAAGTTTTGGACCTGAGCAGCTCCAAGGCTCTCTTCCATCAGTTACACCACTCGATCGAGGGCAACATGGTTAACGATGTGCATGACGTTGTTAAGGTTTACTACGAAGTGAGTCGAGCCCCTTGTGATTCCACATCTGTCAGAAGTTTCTAACACGTCCTCCAGCTTTCTCTTGAAGCCTTCATCAGATATATCACCAACGACATTGTCGAGGATTTCGTATCTTACTCCAAGGGACCCCTTGTGGGATTATCCACGGACTGGGTTTTCACGTTGACTGATGAAGAAGTTCAGAGGCTCGCTCGAGAGGATGACGAGACAATGGGGAGACGTTCGCACTTTGACGGAGTCATTGAAAAGCTGCAAACTGCGCATGAAATAGCTGAGAAGGCTAGGATTCAGACACGGAATCTTGGGGACTTGTGAGCTTACCTCACTAGGCGCACAAGAGGCTTGAAACCTGTGATATCAGTGTATGATAGACGTTGCCTTCTAGCTTCAGGTGTTCAGAGATTGATGTTTCAGACCCATCGACTTTTTGCCTTTTTCCATGCACCTCTGAAGCGTACAAGTCATATGACTGTCTGTAGAAAGTTGGGAATTGCCACTTGAAAAGACTCAAAGTAACAGTCTGGGAAGGTCTTACTGGCGAAGACGCGACCTAAAGCAGGAATGGCTTCTCGTGCATGAGTCTAGAATGAACACCCTGTGCGGATCCTGACTCACTTTCTCAGAAGTAAGGTACCTGGATTCGCCATCTGTCGCGCACCCCGTTTGTAAGTGGCCCCGAGTCAACGTGGTTCCCCATGGGGTCCGTCACGGTCCATGGTGAAAAGGCCCATATAGAGTTTTCCGGTTGCGTGTTACCCGGGCCGGAGAGACAACTGAAGAGTTGCGGAAAATCGGCAAGAAATTGGACCCCTGGGAGCCGCAAAGATGCAACCAACACGAGGACCCATACAGGAACGCAGCCGCTTACGGATGAATGTTGGGAAGCTGAAGCGGCGCATAAGCGGTTGCACATTCCTGTCCGGGATTTCCGTTTGGGGCAAGCCGGGACTGAGACCGTGCAAAGAATCAAAAGAGACTCTTGTCAGGACCCGGTCACAGATGAGATGGTGTGGTTTATGTTGGTCCAGGCCGTCCAGTTGCGTCGTAGTGGTGCCTTTTTTTACATTCCGGGGACAGGGACCGCAAAATCCTGGGGGACATGCGGGGTAAAGTTTACGGGGGCAACCATTAACAAGTAGTGTGTCTGAGGCTCGTGAAGTCGGACAGTACTCCGCGCTAGCTGACTGATTGATTTGATGTTCGGATTCCTGTAGTCGGCAAGACCAGTCTGCTGAACGGGTGAAATCAGATCTTGGCGACTGCTGGATTCAATGTGTAAAGTTTGGTTTTGCCTCCGAGTCAACCCCGGGAGTTGCTGTAAGCGCTATCTTAGTCTGCTGGCAACTCCGGGCAACGTCCGGGAGGCAAACCAGAGCCAAAGTTTGCGCTCAAGTGGCGATAGACCTCTAGTATCCAACCATTGACTAGCTGACGTCGGCGGCGATAGTTAATCCCGAGACACAGCAGTGTCAACCAAGAGGCTTTACGGACGGTGGTCACGATCAAAGCGGGCAAGACACAGAGTTATGGATTCATGGCATTTGGATGATTGAATGATTTGTTGTGGTATCTATGCTTGAATCTGGATGAACTAGTGGTATCTCAACAACAGTCGAAGTCCTACAGACTTCATAAGAGAATAGGAATTAATGACATCGGATACCAATCCGTGTCCAATTTGAGAAGGCCGGAAACTGCCGGGCAAAGGACATAATTCGTAGAGATGGGGTATATTGGTTTCAGGCCACCCTGGCCAGGTTCCGCATCCCGACCAAGGGACTCAAGTGCGCAATTTTTAACGCGGGAATGAACCGCCAATTAGGACTTCTCCTCCTTCTCGACGTTCTGAGTCTCCTCGTCCTGGCGCGCCCACAGTCCGTTGGGCTCACCACTGCTGGTACTGCCCTCGCGACGGTTCTCGCGGGTGGTGGCGTGGCCAGTCTCCTTGGCGTCGTCGTAGGTGATGAGTAGCTCGCCGTTCTTGCCGTAGCGGTGAGGCTCTTTGCGAGCGACGTCGACGACGTCGAAGGCACCCTTGAGTCCGGGGGAAGCCTTGGCGAAGATGGAGTCCATCTCTTCGAGGGAGCGGTAGGCGGTCTCGGGGAAGAAGAAGTAGGTGACGGGAACGATGATGGCGTTGATAATGGCGAAGATGGTGTAGGTGTGGTGCTTGATGGAGTCGAAGGCAACGGGAGTAATCATGACGACCTGTTGGTCCAGCATTAGCGTCGATTCAATAGTAATTAGATTTCAGACAAGAACTCACCATGAAGTTAAAGATCCAGTTGGCGGAAGTGGAGAGAGCGTTGGCGGGAGCACGAATACGCAGAGGGACGATCTCAGCGGGGTAGAGCCAGGTCATGCCGAGCCAGCCAACGGCGAAGAAGGTGTTGAAGACGAAGAGGAAGACAATGCCGGTGATCTGGCAAGCGTAGGTCTTCTGGGAGTTCACACCGGCGAGGATAGCCATCGTAGCAGCCTGACCAACAGCGCCGAAGAGCATGAGCTTGCGGCGACCGACACGCTCGACGAGGAAGACGGCGGGCCAAGAAGCAATGAAGTACTCGGTACCGTTGAGAGCAGCCAGCAAGTGGGCCATGAAGCGGGTCATGCCGAGGTTGGAGTAGATGACGGCAGCGTAGTAGGTGATCAGGTTGATACCGCAAATCTGCTGGAACATCTGGTTGACGTAGCCGAGAGCCGCGCGATGGAAGTTGCGGTTCTTGTCCATGGTGAAGAGGTCGCGGAAGCTGCCCTTGGACATCTCTTCGACCGTCTCCTTCATGACAATGTATTCATTCTTACAATATTGATCGTCTTCGGGCAGATCGGCGATGGCGGCGATGACCTCCTTGGCCTCCTGATCACGGTTCTTGAGAATCAACCAGCGAGGAGACTCGGGCAGGTTCCAGACAAAGGCGAGGATGAAGAGACAGAAGAGAATCTGCAGAGCCAGAGGGAAACGCCATGCGACGGAGCCGGGAGCGAATGACATGCCGAGGTCGATCCAGTACGAGATCATGATACCACCACTGATGAGAGCACCCTCAATCATGACGAGCTTGCCGCGCTTGTGCGATGAGCAAGTCTCGGATTGCCAGGTAGGGACTGTTGATGTGTTGCCGCCGTTTCCAAGACCAGTGATGATACGTCCGATGATGAGATGCTCGATGGAGAATGCAGAGGCTTGGAGAGCAGCTCCGATGACCATGATGGAGGTACCGAGGATAATCATACGCTTGCGACCAAGGGGGTTTCCGATGAAGATGGTGATGATGGCGCCGAGGAAGCAGCCAAGGTTGTAAGAGGCGACGGCAATACCCTGGTTGGTAGAGCGCATACTCTTGACGTCTTTGAGAAGGCCCGGCTCTTCGGGGTTGATGGAAGGGAATTGGGACTGGAACGCAGGCAGAGTGAGAATACCACCAGTCACACCCTGGTCTACATGAGAATGCCATGTTAGTCCATGTTGCTTGATCGCTTCGGAGTCAAGCCCGTGTGAAGCGAGGTTGGAACCTACCATATCCAAAAAGTAAGAAATCGCATCCTGCGATAATACTGATGGCCCAGTTAAGGCTCTTGCCTCTGAGGCCGAAGTAGTTGAGCTTGCCCATCTTGGAGACTCTTTCACAGCGGACAGTATTGGATCGACGTGTTCCAAAAAATGTCGAGGGCTGTAGGTCGCAGATCGGTTGGTGAAGGGAATGGGGTTGAGTCGAGATGAGAGGTAACAACAAGAAGATCAGATGCGAATTGAGATGGCGAACGTGTCGACCTTATAGATGAAAATCCCAAACCTACCGCGACAGGGTAAAGATCGGCAACGTCAGCGCGACCGCCAGGAATCACTTCTTTCTCCTCACCACTCACGCTCATACCACAAGACGCAAGTACATGCCCGAACCTGCACTGACATGGTAACATGGCTACTCGTGCCAGCCTCGGACCCTGGCGTTGGTGCTGTTTACACCGAACCCAGAAACCCCCAAGTAGCCAATCCCCAGCCGTCCCACGAAAGGCTGCCCCGATTTCCCCCAATCCCCGTACGATCCAAGATCCCTCTGGAGGGGAGGAGACATTCTCCGACCTTGAGGAGGGGGGTAACGACTCCACATCCGGTTCCACGGGGGTGGACAATGGGGGCCCGAGGGGAGGACACAAAGAACGGTTGGTGACATGTCGTCAGGCCCGGCCAAGACGCCGTCATGGAACGCGCGGGGCCGCTTGTAGCCAATACGGCGACGGGAAGGGTAAGAATTTTGCGGGTTTGTACATTACAAGACGTTGCAATACGGTGGCTTCACCGCTCTGAGACGCGAACACTCGTGGAGTTTCCGTCCTATCGCGCGGCAGAATTCGGAGAGACACCGACGCGAGAATGGTACCTTTGCCTTCTCGCCCGTGCTTGACCAGAGGGTAAGGCAGCACTATTGCGAAAGCGGAGCAACAAGTACCCAGAAGAGCCGCAATTGTGTCCATAATCGTACATTGTCGGTGGAGTTTAGATGGAGAAGTACTGGAGACTACGACGTCATACCTTGAAGACTTTGATAGCAGACTGATAAGTAATGCCAGAGAGAAAGTACCTCGAGACTCGAGCGTGCCCTTTGTGCATCTCACATCTAAACTTGGGCCAATACCGTTGGCTCAGTTAGACTTGGGTTGGAACTATTCCTGTCTGAGCGGCGCCGTCTGCGAGTCAGGGGGCCCTGTGCGAACCCTGCGGCAACCTTGAGCCGACCACCGCCGCCCGCCTCCTCGAGAAGCGCCGAGGACACGGGACTTGGCTACTGAGAAGGCAGGGTAGTATCGTAACCGCTGAGAGCGCTTGCAGCTGCGGATTCTGACTCTGAATTATCTGCTCGCCCGGCCATTGTGATCTCTCTCTTTGGCTGCTTTGGCAGATTAAGTTGGACCCGCGGTCGTGGGGACAACAGGCGACAGAACCAGGTTTCAAGTTGAAAAATACTCGCACGCGATTTGTCAATGTCGGCAGTTGTTGGTAGCCAGGTGCGTCGAGATTGATGGACCACATGACGTCCTGGTTCAGGCTATATGGATTTCTGGAGGTTAGACTTTAGTTTTTGTGTCGTCTTTTTCTCTGACTCGTGATTCCCATGTCACTGGGGAATAATTAACCAGATGCTGAACGGAGCACATGTCGTCAAAATCCTAAAAGCTTGACTAGATGCTAAGAATAAGCACAACAAGCACAAGCCTTGACAAGACGATTCGCGGGCATTGGCAGCTCTGCCAATGTTCTTGTCTATTGCTTGTCCAATGCCTATCCCTTGGTATTGTGAATCCTCATTTCTCATGGCCTCCAGTCTCCAAGCACAAATGCGGCTAACTGTGGAGGCTGTTGTAGCTAAAGGTGGGAATCTCAACTCCGATCTACCCATGTACACAAGTATCTCGGGATGACGTCGACACTGTAGGAGTTTTCTTCGCCTCGGCATTACTTATTTAGGCAATCCGAAGAGACGCGCCAGGCGCATCAGCAGACGAGCCAAGCCCACAACAAGCCGACTGAAACTTCGCACCAACACCAATGAAAGGCGACGAATGGCTTTAAAGACCCGGTGAAGACGAACGGAAAAACTGACGGGCCTTGGTATCCTCGTGTCGAATCCGTTTTTTACCCGCATTCCCGCATAAACTGGAGAAAAGGGCCTGTGTGGACTCAGAGACTGTGTGGTCCGAACGTCCAGTCAAATTTCCCCCCAAACCCAAAATGAACTGACTCGGGGGCCCGCAAACAAACAATCTGTTGGTTGACGTTTGCGCAAAATGGGCAATGAAGCCGATGTTGGACATACTTGGCGCAACAATTTTCTGCGTCTTCTGTCAGGCATTTGTATGTACGCTGACGTCTTGGTGAACTCGATGGATGATCACTCTCCAGGCTCTCTCTCTATGAGTCTCAGAGGTTTTTTGCAGGCCTTTAACCTTGGTCACAGCCTCTACGACGGGACAGAGTTCTGCCGATCTTGTTACCAACTACTCGGTTCAACAAAGCTGTCAACTGTCGAGGTCCCTGGCAGAACGTGGTTTCCGTGTTATGTTTCAGGCACCTTTGTTGACGTACAACGTACACGCAGCGTCTATCACTGCAATTTTGTCTAGAGATCTTCATAACAGCACATGCTTTTGGGACATCAAATCGTTAACCGAAGAAGGCAGGACCCTGACTGTGCATTCTCTTTGGCGTCTTGGACGGATTGTCTGTACCGCTCGTCTCCACACATCAGACGAGCGATGCCTAGCGCATGGGAAAACCGGGGCCTCAGATGCACGTTTGCGATGTATCTCCAATGGCAGAAAGATTGATACACTGACCAGAAATCCATGGTTGGGAGTTAACGCCGGAATCCAGGTCTCAGATATCGGGTAAACTCGTGTGAGTTTTGGAAGGGAGATTAAGACTCACAATCAAAACTCCACCTTGGGACATACTGAATTTGCTTGAGACTACCCATATCCCGGAACAATAAGGAAGTATTCTCTTCCCATCAAGTAAGTAGTACTCGATTCAACCGATCAAATCGAGCATCAAATTTTCAGTGTTTCCTGTGTTGTTGGACAGAGCGCGGGAGGCGGGAGTGTCAAGCCGTCAACATCGCCGATTCGCCGGGCCGGAAAATTTTGCACATTCGGCCCCACACCGAGAAACCAAGTTTCTTGTACTTGGAGTGGATCGAGATCCTGGAAGCCAGTGCAAGAGAACGCAGGGCAGCAGGGCTCGTCCGCCTGTCATAAGCAAGAGAAGTACTCTGTACCATCGGAGTCAGAGTCCGGCTTGAGGGTGAGAGGCAGCCCACGGTGGACTTTTGGTTGTCACCGTGAGGAAAAACTGGAGATGAGGGGATGATAGAGAACCTGAGGAGAAAGAAGGAGTAGGGGCGTCGGTTCGGGTTACAGAACGGACAATGGAGCCGTTTCCATTTTTTCCTGCAATGTTCTGAGTCTTTTGACCACTGGCAATGTGGCAATCCAAAGCACACAAGAACCATCATGTGACGCAGCGGCGACTTGTCTAAATTGACCGCAAAATTCACGTCAGCCGCGCGGGCGCACATCGGCCCTTCGTCGCTACAAAACGTCCCGCAGGGTTGGTCTGCAGTAGTTTCCGCGATAGGGGACTGAGAGGTGTCGCTTAACGTGAGCCGCGAGCGCCACACCTGCGGTGAACGGTCTTCGTCTTTGAGCCCTGGTCGTTTGATCAGGGTCTTGGCTTCAGATCTTGAAAATGACGTCGTTTCTGAGAGATGGGTTCCACTCTGCTGGTTATTCTTCTAGCCTGATGCAGACGGTTTTTGATATGAAACTTCTTGCAACGACGCGATAGTGGCGCCGCTACGTCGGAAAGCTGCCGAGATACTGGCGAAAGATCTTTTTACACTACGCTTTGGACGCGAATGCTTGGCCATGCATTCGCAATCAACAAATCCTTCCGCTAGGTGTACCCAAATCTTGGTCTCATCGACCAGGGTAATCGGGTGCCACCTGTGATGATGACGATTTGTTGCGAGATTCAAGACCTTCTAGGCTTTGACGGTTCACTTGAAATGTTCGATTTCCCGGGGCTCAAAGACTAGTTCCCTGTTTTCAAACTCTAAAGTTTAGGAACAAACATATTGCTTACTTCTTTCTCTTTCAACTGCATGCCTTTTTCAGTTGGCCGAGTGCTTAAATACTCGAGATAGCGACTACAAGAATGATACCGGAGCTCAACAAGATGAATTACCATGCTCTCTCAGCAATCTCCAGACCAACATCAGATCGGCATGATTTTCAATAGCCCATTTTTAAACGTTCTAAAGCTCAGTCGAGACTGCTTATGATCCCGCACCACCCATAATCAGCCGTTGAACCAGACTCCATTCAAGGTAGGTACGGGCCAAGGTCCCGTTGTATAAGGCTCTTGCGGGGCCTCCACGCCGAAGCTTCCAGCGAGATACGTATTGTGCCTCCGGGGAAGGTGGGTCCGTCTATGACTTCAAGCCGGTGGAGAAGCCGGACGATATCCCATCCGACCGCCTTTCAAACTTTCCTATTGTAATACTCAAGCATTATCTATTAATGTGAGGTTTGAGGATTAGATACTTCTTTCTTATTAAAAAGCTTACAGCAAGCTTGTTGCAGGCCTCACAGACTTGGTGGCATTCTGCTTCAGCTCCCTACTACCTCTCAGGGCTTCTCTCAACGCAACCTTATCAACCAGTTCAACAACCAAGACAACCAACTTCCAGAAATCTGCGCTCAACAAGTCCAAGTTTGATGCCTTACACGCTTTGATTGCGTTGATTGCGTTGAGTGAAGTGCTGCTACTACCTTACTTAGGATACCTGCATAGACTAGGTAGCATGAAGTATTACCTAGTACTTCGGAAGCAGCAAATAGACCCATGTGAGATCCATGGTGAACTTGGCAACCTCCCACTCCTCCACGTATCAAACAGCAGATCAATCAAAAGTTTTCATGGAGGTCGTTATGCGTGCGTGCTTTCTCTTCTCATTTCATCTGAGACCTCTTTAATGATAGGAGCGACTGGCTGGTGTTTCAGCGAGAAAGGCCGCTCACTGCTTGTGTCTTGGCTGGAAGCAGTGAAGCACAATTCAATGGTCACTTCTTTCATTGCCATCAACAGCCGATAACTACAAGTTCTGTCGTTTACACTTGTATGTTTCTACCTACCTGTTGTTCTGAATGGACCTTGTACTGAGGCGGAACAACGTGACGTTTGGTTGAGTTCAAGATATCTGTCTTTCCAGAAGTCCTTCCAAATAGAACTTGGTGCGTAACAAGCTCCAAAGTACAATGTGTCAGTCTCGCACTTGCTCATTCTCTTGTGTTGCGCTAAGTGTGCTATTTCGTCTGTACGCATTGATTGTCGCCAAAGCACTTGCCGTTTCGTGGTTTAGCCTTCAGTTCGACTCTCATAGTCTGAGGATCCTTTACTCTGGCTACAGGACGAGACGATCTCCAGTTTGAACCTGAATCAAGGCAAAATTCTGAAGAGCCATTTTTGAGAATGATAGCTTGGAATTCAATGGATACAGACATTACTAGATCGGAGTTGAGAATGGCATAGGATGAACAGCTTGAGTCATGAAAGATATCATTGTTTCTTGTTGGTACTGGCGCTTCCCTCCGACCATAGAAAGATCCAACTTTAGTTTTCTGTCTTTGTCAAAGTTACTGGCGTTTCTACCGCTGTAGGGATAATTGATTATCCTCTTAGTTGACGTGTAAGATAGAGTCTAGAACCATCGACCGCTTCGCCGCAGCCCACAGTGGTACGAAGTTAACTTTCGGTCATAGCCCGGAGAACCAGACAAGTCAACAATCTGGTTACAATCTTGAGCTTGATTGAATGTGAACATGATCCAGAACTCCAAGGTGTGCCCTGCTGCTATGGCGCCCGAGTTCCCAAAGAAAACCCTCATACTTACTGCTTCTCCTTTTTCTCTCAAGCATGATGAGCTGAAGATCTACCTAGTGCATTAATCTCATCATGT